TGGCGAAAGCAAAAACGATGGAAAAGGCAGCGGCGATAGGCAAAACTAGACAACTTTTCCGCCTTATCAAAGAGACCGGTATTAGGAGTTCGACTATGGGTGAGATTCTGTCGGAAAAGGATGGCTGTATCAGTCATTCTCAATCCAGGAGACTGGACAGATGGGCAGAACACTTTAGGGATCAGTTCAACTGGCCTCGAGCCACACTTCGGTTGCCCACGATCCCCAGTCATCCTGAATGGCCGATCGATTTAAGTCCTCCCAGTCTACATGAAGTTGAGAAAGCTATAGGAAATCTAAAGTGAAGTAGAGCAGCAGGTCCTGATAGGCTTACCCCTGTGATGTTTAAGGATGGTGGTCCAGTTTTAACAGTTAGACTGACCGAGATCCTAGGTAGGATCTGGGAACTGGACGTAATCCCATCTGACTGGTCTCAGTCGCTAATTGTCCCAATCTGCAAGAAAGGACAAAAGTCCTCTTGTGACAATCACAGGGGAATCAGTCTAACTAATATAGTTTCTAAATAGTTAGCCTCGATTATACTTAGACGTCTAACTAGAGCTCGTGAAGAGCAGACTCGAGAAAACCAATCTGGTTTTCGACCTGGACGTGGTTGTATAGACCACATCTTCACACTACGACAGGTCCTGGAACACAGACACACATTTAGGCGTCCTACAATAGTTGTTTTCCTAGACCTTAAGGCGGCATTTTACTCTGTTGATCGTAAGGTTCTGTGGCAGTGTCTGTCATTGAAAGGTGTACCAAAGAAGTACATTAACCTTATACAAGCTCTCTACTCGAACACCACTGGTCGGGTGAGAGCATATGGCGAACTGTCACCGGAATTCTCTACATCAAGTGATGTCCGTCAGGGATGTCCACTATCTCCATTCTTGTTTAACTTTGTCGTAGACATCCTATTAGAGTTAACATTAAGCTCGTCAGATTTTTCAGGGGCTGACCTTCTACCTGGAAATTCGCTTACTGATATAGAATATGCCGATGACATATTTCTATTCGGTGAAGACGCTGACAAAATTCAGAGTCTTCTGACTACCATAAGCAACAATGCGAGCATGTTCGGGATGCGGTATTCCCCCTCGAAATGCAAAATGTTGCTTCAAGATTGGGTTGTTTCGGCACCTGAACTAGGGATAGAGAGTGAAGTAGTAAAGCGTGTAGAAGGCTTCACATATCTGGGGAGTCTCATCAGTGCTGATGGCCTGGTGACTGACGAAATCTCAGCTCGGATACAGAAGGCTCGATTGGCTTTTGCCAACCTGCGTCACTTATGGCGTAGGCGAGATATCCGTTTGCTGACTAAAGGACGAGTTTATTGTGCAGTATTTCACTCCGTCTTACTATATGGATGAGAAGCATGACCGGTAAGAGTCGAGGATATTCGTAGGTTGTTAGTATTCGATCATCTGGGTCTTCGAAGCATTGCTCCTATATCCTGGGACCACCGAGTAAGCAATGCTATAGTTATGGAAACGAGTACTAGGCAAGGATGGCAGATCAATAGATTAAGTATTGAAACCTCATCGGTTGAGGTGGCTGGGACGTGTTACGAATGCACAACCACCGCTTGCCTTTACGAGCTATGTTTTGTGGTGTAGTAGGTTGAAAGAAAGCTATGGGCGGCCAAACATGGCACAAATCCATGAAGTCACTGACAAGTAGACTGAGTCATTTTGGCAAGTGTTGACTACCTACCAATGGTTAAATACACTGAATGACAGGGTTCAAAATCGTTTGCAATGGCGCAGTTGCATTCATTCATTGTTTTCTGAAATCTTAACCTTCTGAATACCTCATCATCTCTGTCTTTCTCTTACTTAAGTTATCTCACTGAACTATACTTCTTGAATAATATCTTTGATCCCTAATATTCTCCATTACCGCTAATTCTTCTACTATCTCTACCACTATTGGATTTGAACTGACACTTGCGTCTTTATGCCTATGTGGTATGGCAACCTGAACTGATATACTTATGTACGAAGTTCTACGTTGTAACTGACTGACTGACCGTATTTTCCCTAGTCGTTACTGTCATGTTTAGTCGTACACAGTATAAGCAAATTTCTTCTGGTATCGAGGCTAGGAGCTCTAGATCTGCCCTAAGACCCAATAGGGCTTCCAGGTACACGCAGAGTGAAATGAGTTCTTCTTTATCTTGACATTGTAAGTTCAAATGAATGACGCTACTCGGGTCCTGTTTGCGCGTTTCTAAGACGCAGCACACATCGATGGTGCGAGATTCTAAAGTCGTAGCTCAGGAAACTTGTTATCCTATTCGACAAATTATCCGGACATGCAAAGCTCCATTATGTAATTCAGAACGGGGTTTCAGGAGACCAGGGATAACGTTTCGCGCGCTCGATTCGTTTGCATTAGCGGTGCGGGCTGACAAAGGAATATTAGAAGGCTTAGTCCTGGATGTAATAGAGTTATCAGGTGTAGAAAGGATATGATTGTGTCCAATTTTTTCTGGTGTGCTTTTACGGGTATAAGGGTGGATCTCACTTCCCGGCTGCTGACACGGGTGTTTCTTGAGGAACTTGAATATGTAGTTAGATTAGTGTGGGTGTTAGAGACCTGGGAGAGTGACCGCAGAGCTCAACGGACAACTTCTTGAGGCCGATGACTCGCGGCCTTTTTATGAGACGTTGTTGAAGTGTTATCTCCGCTCTTGTTTAGAAGGCCCTACCGCTGGAGATGGAAATCCGTGAGGTATGACATTTTTAGGGTCAACCTTTTCTAACCCCTTCCTTTCTTGTGAGAATGCAGCATCACTGCAGATGCTAGTTGTCCGAGGAAAACACCTTACTGCTGTCACACCCCTCTACAGTCAGCAGTACGACTTCTCCCTCATTCCCTGAGTAGCTGCTTTTAGTCTCATCGTTCTTCAATCAACCTGCCCGGCATGATAGGACCTACAGGAACAATATGTTCCAGACGCTATAGCTCTGTTGGGTCATCACAATAGGCAAGCCCAACCACCACGTCAAGGTAACAGTTACGGTCGGGACAACTCCTAAACAACTGCTAAGCATTTTTCTTTTCATGATTTGAAGTTGAATAGTTTGTTACAACGAGTAGCGGAAAGGTCAACTTCTAATTGGGAAACAGTCCACGTTATTACTACACTTGCCTATTTATTTACTAGTTATAAACAACTTCATTTTCAATCGGAATTCGAAAGTTAAAAATTGTTAAACAGTTGCCTTTTATGGTTCTAAGTCCCTAAACTTCTGTTTTTGACTCATTTTAGAATCGGATTTTGTAGGCAGGCTTCAGTTTGCGTTTTTAGTCTGGATCATCACAATATGTGTGGAAAATTATTCATCAATCAGAGTACTTAAGTTTGGATGTGAAAACCTTTTTAGAAAAGCGGCAACAACTCAAACGTAAACTGGCAAAAAGGCAATAATCATAAATAGTGGTGAACAACATAAGCTAAAGAGATGGAAAAGGCAGTGGCGATAAGTAACACAAGACAGTTCAACCAACTGACCAGGAAAATGTATTCAAAAGTTTGGCGTTAGTGAGACCTAGTAAAGGCGTGAACCAGATGGGCAAAATCTATGGGTAATCGGCTTCCAGCTGCTTTTCGATTATCTTATATCCCCAATCAATCTGAATGACAAAAAAGCCTCCGACGGTAACCACGGAGGAATCAGTTTGGGTAATATAGTGTCTGAAATATTTACCTTAGTAATCATCTAGCGCGTAACTAGAGCGTGTGAAGAGCAAACCCAGTAAAACAAGGCTCTCCACAGACATGAATGTGCAGGCCGGTTGTTCACTTTTCGTTGGGTTGTAAAAGATGGGCATACCGGTCGATGTGCGACTACAGGTATTTCTTGATCTTAAGGTAGTTCTCGAATCTTGACTGTGTTTGCTATTGAATTGCCCACTAAAGAAGTACATAATCTTTATTTACTAGTCAATCTGATGTAACGTTAGATAGTTATATCATGGGATGAAAAAAATCTGCTCCGTCTTTGTGTAAAGTAATCCAGCCAGCGATTTAATACTCGTTAGTCAAATAATTTCCGCGAATTGATCATCTGATAGTTGAATCTGATCACTGTTTGCGCCATTCAATTTCTACTGAGAAACGAACGCACTATACTAACAAAGCAAACTGCTGTGTATTTAATACCATATAACTGGATACCGTCTAAAAGCTAAAGTCAATTCTTATTGGCATTGTTGATAAGTGAAAACTATGATGATCTTATTAAATTTTCCTCCTAACAGTGCACCAAGAACGCCTAATCAATTCAGAACCGACAAAACTATGAAAACCTTACGATCTACATAAACAGAGAGTACATATGTATGATTGGTATGTTAGTTCTTCAAAGTATACTGCCAGAAGAGGATAGCAGAAATTTTCATAATTTATCTCAAAATACCTCTTCGGATTTGTAGATATAATTGGCTATTTGCTAATGTGAAACATGCTTATTACTTAAAACTCAATGAAAATAATAATAAAATGTACAGTTTAATGTATGTTAATGTATGCACATATCTCCTCTTTGAAGTTCTTGAATAGTGATCATAGTATACATATATATATCACAATCAAGATATGGCCTGATGGTTTTGAATTAATTGGGCACTCTGTTTATTATTAAATTTTTATATTCCAGTGAGCAATAAAATGAATTTTTAACCTTCATAATCATATAGAAGTTGCTTCTCTAGAGAAATTGCACATGTGAACACGATTATTCTATTTCCCTCTGTTAATATCTAAACTTGTATTACCTTTTACAAGTTATTTGTTCTCTAAGGAAGAAAGCAACTTTCTGAAGGTGAAATACTCCATTTGTATATATATATATATATATATTATTTTGACTAGGGAAATTTAAAACATTTAAAAGCAAATATTTAGAAATCAAAGGGATTTTTTTGTTAACTTCTGCTTAAATTCACTTTTCTTTGATAGAATATATTTACGAACTTATAAAGTGTTAGATTCCAACTTATTATTTTACTTATATGTTTATATTTCAGTAAACTATTTATAAGATACATGATTTGTGTCTATCTTCTTAGTATTCTAATAGATCCATGTTTCAGGGAGATCATTGTGCTTTTCAAGGTCAAGAAAGCGATACAGTTTTGTATTGAATTCCATGGAACGTTTAGAGGCTGGTCGAAATTGAATTGGCATAGATTTAACCAACCATGGTATTAGGTGACAAGCATTCATGTAATCAACCAACTTTTGTTGATTTTTCTTTCGTTCATTTATAGGGAACTGTGGATTATAAGCTGTATTTTAGGATAAAAAAATACAAAATTAAATGAGATTAACTACACTGCTAAGTAGTTAAATACTTACATTTACAAAGGTACTGACTGCTTCACCATTCCTTGAATTGATATATGGTCTATCCACAAGTTTGTACACCTAGGCTTAGCAAATAAATGATTGAGCAAGTGGCTGTGGCTGCATCAATATTTGTTTTCAGTGTCATATGCGTAGTGTCAGAATTAAGTCAGAACTACAAGGCTATTTGTCGTATAGATTCCTCTTTGATTTTCACTATAAAGAAGGTAGTAGAAATGTGTCAAGGAGCTGAAATCGTGGCCTTTCACATTAATTAAACTGAACATGTTTCGTTGTCAAAAATTCCGGTAGTAATATGACCTGTATTACTGGTTTCATAATACTAATAGCTCATTATTATTTAGTTAAGCATACTTTTTAAGTTATATTTTTGAACTGTCCCATCGTTGAGTTTCATAAATAATATATTTTGGTACTAGTCTATCTTATGTGAATAGTGTTTGAGAAAACCGGTTCTCGCACGACCTTTCATTTCCTATTACTTTTGAACGAAAAGCTGTTAATGAACACCTAGCCGTTCAGATTAGTTGAATTAATTATCTGGTACCACATCAGTATTTAATAGAGTGTTTATCAGAAAATAATTTTGCTATCTTATCACCTAATGAATGTTCTTGTTTAATATGTGAAGTAATTAAATCAGCCATTTTCTAATTTAATGTTTGAGTCAGCGACTTGATAGTACAGTTTTCGAATTGTATCGGTATATCACTACTCTCTTGTTGGCATTGTCATTGTGAATGAAATTTAAATCCATGAAACAGTGTTTCATTCTAAGCTTTGTTTCGCTTTGTATTCTCAGCATAACTGAAGAAATTAAGCATAGAGAATATGACTGGGACCAAATGATTTTGATCTCTTATATCATCTCATTACTACTCACGAACTAATTTGATTTTGTTTCTAATTATGCTGTCATTTATCGTTATTATTATTTTCATTTCCATCTCCGAAAACTCTTTTCAAGCCTATCAGTTGGACATGAGGTTTTTTATTATATAACTCCCTGTAAAAAATTACAGGGAGCCTTGAAGTGGAATAAACTTATTGTGAAAATATTGTTGTTTTTTGCTTTGTTGTTGAATTTTTATTCAAGTTGTGGACTTCGTGTTGGTGTGCATTTTGATCCAAATGATCATGTTTACTTTGAACATATCCCAAATGAAGTTGATAATCAATGATAAAATTAATTTTTCCAGTCAATCAATCTTTTTCACAAGCTATATATACAATTAGATTTTTAACTAACCTTTTAAATGTAATCCCATATAAATCAGTGCTGATCGTCTAATTGTAACAAATGGAAATTTCGGTCTTTCTTGACCGATAGCAGATAATGCCTTGCGAAGGGCTACAGCTAAGGTTTGTTCAAGAAAACCAGGCAATGGTAGTGACTTCACTGCTATAGGGTTTGCAACTGGAGGCAATTTGTGTGGCAGTTGTAAATCAGCGGAAAGGGTAGGTTTTCTGTACAAACAAGTATTTAAAAAAAATATGAGCTTTTAATGACACTCTGTTGTATGAAAAAATCTTTTAGTCGCCAAGATAATTTGTGTCAATAGACGAATGTAATTATTGATTATTATTTCGAGGATATCCAGTAGTGACTCATAATTAAGATTAGACACTACCTATTCAACAGAAAAGTCACCTACCCTACGATTGATTTTACTTACTTTTCAAACAAAGTACATCAACCAATACAGTATCGAAAATAGTTCTTTGAAGTAGTGTTGATAAAGTTGACAGTCAATCGTAACCAAGAACAAAATGTGTTATTTCATGCGGATCTGAAGTGGCAGACTTTTCGTGTAACATTCATGCATATGCGAATAATTTTTAAGATCAAGACTTTTAAATCAAGAGGAAAATATTCTGAAAATTTCTTTTATTCACTACCAAATGTAATGAACACAAAAGTTATTTGCAAATTTACAGTAGATTAGTTTGAAACCGTTTACAGTAGTGCATTTACATGAATTCCTTATATATAGATTTTCGGCTTGAGACCGCTCTATATTTGCCACTCACTGGTCTTAGTCAGTCCTTTTGAACTATACTTCTTACGCTTGCGATTGATCGACCACTAGACAGTGGCCAATGTCATGTTCGTCAGCTCTTCTTTAATACTGATCGAATTCTATCGATCAGGTTGCAGTGTGGCCACTAATCTAGGTGACTTGATATCGCGTGCACTATGTTGAAAAGTAAGCTGGTGGTTAAAGTTAGTCGACAGGAAACCCTAGACCTAAGTTCCACTCTATTTGGTACTTGTCATCAAGGTATACCTGTAATCTTGGAGGAACTGATGCCCTCTGGCACATTACAACTATACCATGCTGACAAGTAAAACTTCGAGTGTACTACTGACCTGAAAAGTATTTAATTTGGTTGAATCTCTTAACTTTAACATTCAAAGCACTAGACTCAAACCACATTACTGCAGAACCAATCAGTGGACATTGTAATGCTTTATTTTAATTGGGAAGGCGGTTTCTCTTTGTCTGTGTCAGTTCTAAGTTAGTTGTCACGCTCATTACTTATATTAAAAATTGTTGAATTTTTACTGGGCTCATTCTAATAAGTAAATGTGGTATGTTTTAACTGTTCAAACTGAGTATCACTAACCGGGTTCCTTTAAAATTTTCATTCGTTCACGTAAAAGATGAATGATTAAGGATTCCCCACTTTTTTTTAGTGATACTGATGTGAATATATATACACTATGGTCCAACTATTGACATAATTTTTACTACAGAATGATCAACACCTATGTTAGATATATAGTACTTAGTAAACATAAATAATCAATTGATGATGTACTAAATTTCATCGAACGAAGTGGTAAAGACATTTGTATACATGCTAAACTACTGTCCACCTCGACAGACAATGTTATCTGGTAAAGTAGGTCGGAAGAAAGCTATGAGCTGCCAATTCAGAACATAACACCAGTCTATGAAATCACTGAACCATGTTAATAGGTGTAGACAACCTGATTGGTCTTCACATGATTGCCGAAAACAGTGACTAAAGCGCTTTTAAGCACATGGCTCAGAATCGTTCCCAACTGCGTATATGCATTCACTCCCTGTCTTCCCATTATTTATCAACAGTAGCTGATGAGCTTAGTGACTGCAAGTCAGCCCTGGCTACCACAAGTTAGATGAAGCCATTTTTTGAACAGCTTTTATATTAACTCTATGAGATCTTAAAATCGTAAGGGGAATAAATTGTATCAAATAGTAAATTATATTATTAAACTATAATATAGTAGAATTATAAAATACTAGCAACCGCATTTCTCTTACCTGAGGAAATTTAATAAACAGTTATTTGAACAGAATGTATATATTTTATGATTATAATTAGCCAAATATTCCGATAGTCCTAATTTTAAACCTTCATATCTTGATTTGCTATGATAAAAACACACCGGACAATAGCCATTTAAGGCTAATGGTATAGGATGTGAATCATGTATCCTTTTCAAATTATCCCCTTTCAATCGTACTGGCAATAATTCATTTTCTGGTAAGGCATGCATATTATTCGGTGAAATATATCTAGTTGGATTAGCTAGAAATGCTTGTAGTTCACTTGGTCCAGCCATACGATAATAACGTCCTTCATATTCAGCGGTGAAACGCATGGATGTATGAATATGAATTAAATTATTCAATCCATTACTATTATCATCATCATTATCAATAGCACTGACAGCAACAGTATTGCTATTATTGTTCTGATTATTCAGGTTGGCATAATAATTTTCTTCACTACAGTAATTATTGCTGGGTAAAATTTTCTGCAGATTATGCTTAGTTGAACTGATACAATCTAATTTGTTTATTTGATTATCATTGATATTTAATTGGATGGTGAATTGTTGTTTAGGTTCATTAATTGTGTCTTCTAACTCTTGCTTTTCTCTCAATGTAACTGGACAATATTGACGAAATTCACTGGCTAATTTTTCATATTCACACTGTTCAACACCTAGTTCAGCTATGGAGGCAGCCTTGTCTATTGATTGGTTTTTATTCAGAAAGAAAACGATGTAAAAACAAGATGAATTTCAGTAAAGCCTCAAAGTGTATTGTTCAACAGAATTATATTTAATACAAACTTTAGGTGAATGAGAAAAAAACATCCGTTTGATCAGTTTGAACTAACAATAAAGGTCAAATTGTCAAATGAAAACTTTATTATGAAATAAAATTAGTTGCGCAACCACCAGAAATCAAGGAGCACTTGGCACCTTTATTTTATGTGTAAAATTCCTCAATGTTGGCTGGTGATCACGCTACTACAGCAAATCGAGTCAGTACAGAGACGTTAACTATCAGGTTGTGATATAACTGTCTAAATGTAACGTTCACTGAGAGAACGAAAGCTTTCAGATTCGTTCTGTCTGTTAACTCCAAACTAAAACAAAATCTTTTAACATTACTCATTGATTCTCAATGATTCACTAAATAATACCAGTCTTTGAAGACATTTATCTTTCCCGAAATCGTAATTATTTTTCAAAACACACAAGTAAATGGAAATCAAATGAAATATAACAGAATACGAAATTTGTTGAAACTGTCTTAACTGATATTTACTTACTAATTCACCTTCATTTAGTCTCCCTAAAATCAAAGCATCAGATAACCACGGTTTTGTTCTTTTTGTTAACAGAACTGCCAAGTTGCATGTTACATCGTTGTTAGATATAGAGAATATACCTATACTTTACCATCCACTAATTTGTGAACATTCTAACGCTTAATACTTTTTTGCTATATTCACTTGCGTTTACCTCGCTAATTTCCTTCGCGCTGAAGTATATCATGTTGAAGTAATAATAACTACTCCACATTTTATCGTTTAATTGTGTATATTTTCTTGACAGGTAATCGTTAACTTCGCCAAACCTCTTTATAACATTATCTGATATCTACAATTTCAGCTTTGAAATTAATCACAAAAGTTTTAAATAACGGAAATACTAAATATACACGCTAAACTATACAGTCTTTTACATTCGAAATAGACTTTTAATAAAACCATTCTCATATTTTATGTAGATATCTTAAAGAATTCATTTACCATGTAATACTATTTTCTTTCTTAATAAACATTAGTAATTCATAACAGGCTTCGTCTTCACAACAGAACTATTAGGAATTTACGCTGATACTAATCACTGATAAATTTCTGTTTTTTATTCCCTGAAGCGTTTTATTCTATGCTTCTTAGCTTTACTCGATCCCCTGTATAAGCTAAGAATCTCTATTCATAGTAGATCAGATTGAATTTTATTGAAGGATTTCTAGTATCTAGTCATTAACCTCTACACTATTTCGATCACATACAGAAGAATCTCTGAGTAAGTAATTTCGATGTTAGACGTAAGATATCTATGCAGAGTTTAAATCGATTTTTAAGACTATGAGCCTTCATTGATTATGGTGGCTGCAGCACTTGCTAATCATGCCAACGTGCTTTATATGAGAAGATTGAATACAGAATCCTTCTATAAAACTAGTAACTACTAGACTTTATGTAAACTTCCAAGGATATTAAATGATACAACTCAAAAAGTGATTGCAATGGAGTAAATGTGCCTATTAATCTTCTTCCTGTAAACGTCGAATTGAAAAGCTTTCATTACTTTTCGTTTCTCGATTTCACTGACTGTCACTGCAATGCAAGCTAATCCTGAAGCAAGATTTTACATTTCGATGAGGAGAACTGCAACCCAAACATGCTTGCATTGTTGCTTAAAGTAGTTAGGAGACTGCATTTTGTCATCGTCTTCACCAAGTAGAACTATGTTACCGGCATATTCTAAGTCTCACTCATAGTGAGTCCAATGGTAACAGTCCAACTTCGTAAAAGTCAGATGAACATAATGTTATCTCTAAAAGCATATCTTTAGCAAAGTTAAATAAGAATGGAGAAAGTGGACAACCCTGACGAACACCACTTGAAGTAATCATTTGTGATGACATTTCGCCTAAGCTCTGACTTGACCAGTAGTGTTCGAGTAGAGAGCGTGTATAAGGTTAATGTCTTTCTCTGGTTTACCTTTTGATGACAGACGTGGCCAAAGAACCTCACTATCGACAGAGTTGAATGCTGCCTTAATGTCAAGGAATACAACTATGACTGAATTGATAATAGCTATCGATAATTAACTCTGTGTATATCCTGTATTGATTTCATAGTATAAAATTATGAAACTGTTAGCAAATTCATACTTTTCTTTAAATAAAATACTATGTTATAAACCGTATGTTATGATTATACGAATCGTATAAATCTATACAATCATAAATTCACATTTAACGAGAGCACATTAGTTGCCGTAGTGACTAATAAACAGTGTTAGTTACGAGTGATTGGTATAAACCGACAGTCAATATTTCCATACCATAATGAACCACTTGGTAAAATAATTATCCTGTACACATTAGGTTTGTAAAAATAACGTAAACGATAGCCAAGAATCGTCACATTGGATATATGAATCACGTAAGCTAACGAATATCAGTAAATGTAAATTTATTTATTCATTTATCTTACAATTTATTCTACATTTAAAATGACCAACTCATAAATAATATCCATGGCCAATAATTGGCAAAATCAGTTAATGCATTGTGACTAGTGTAAGGTTATCATCTGTACGCTAACACACTGTCAACACAGAACTTGCTCGAAACCACTAAAAGCATATTTCGCTTTCTGAGTGGCCTACACCACTAGTCCATTAGTATGTTGACATAAGAAAATAAGTGTGGTTTTACTCTCTAGTATTGATAAAAATCAATAATTCGGTATACAATACGAAGTCGGAAAGACCAAAGCTTGTAATCCATGATCAATATAGGTGTATACTATGCTGTACTGGCTATCAAACAACATGCAAAACCGAAACGATAAAGATATAACTTACGAGAAGTTATCCTTTCCATGTATTCTTCAATATGTTTCATTCTGTGTTTAATTAAACGAATCACTTTACGCCATAATAACCAACGATTTTGAACAGCTTCTAGTTCAACTAAAATTCCATTGCGTGAATAATACCATTCTTTAAGTGGCAATACAACATTATCATATGCTGCTAAACGAATAACTAATTCTTGTGCAGTGTCCACTTCTGGTTCAGGCAATTTGAATCCTTCTTCATGTCTTTCTGGTTTATTATCTGAATCGTGTTCTTCCTCCGTTCCAATGGTTGTTTTTTGATTTTCACCAAAAGTAAGAAATGAAAGATTTGATTGGGACAGTTTTATCTGAGTTGAAGTTGATGCTTGTGTAATTCCTCGTAGAATTAATTCTTCTCTAAATTAGTGATACCGAATTATTATTCATTATATATTAACAGATTATATTACTATTATCATTGAAAATATTGCACTTGGCACAATTATACGCAGTATAATAATATCATGATAAACACCATTGATATTCTATGCAAACTGTAATATGCTTTAAATCTTAAACCGTTTTTAGATTTTTGTTAATGTTCAATAAAAAAGCCTCCCAAAGTAAGATGATTTCATCAGGTTTTTCCGTTTTATGAATTTCAATAAAATTAGAACAATAATGAATAAAAGATAACCAGTCATCAATCTTATCTGTTCGCTTTAAATAAACTGCTTGCTTATTCCTTCAAATTACATAACTTACGCACCATATACTTCTAGTGCAATGAATTCTAAAAACCTATATAACTAATCATCATGTGATTACTAGTAACTGATTTCCAGTAATTTTGTAGTATGAAATCTTACTCTGTAGAGTTAAACAAATGACGTGTGGGTGAGAAATTCACTGAATATAGGGCGTATGGACTTATTGTTAGTCAATGATTACCATGGGACCGCATCTCCTAATGTTGCTTCACTGCTTTTTGGACTGGTCTAAAGGGTCAAAGGCTCTACAAATGGCCCCGTAAGAGAACCACATTCGGTTTGGACCTCCGAGTGGTGTCCCTAAACCGCACGGAAAGGCAATGACTTGTGCGGTGCATGTAAATTTTAGTGCCCCTATGCGCCAATGTTTATTTGTTTAAATATATACAAATCAACATTTCTCCGATTGATGTTAGTTAGTGATGAAAATTGTTGTTGAAATTCAAATAGTTTAGTCTTACCGAAATATGAAGATGTTTAATATTGCAATTATTTTATTTGAAATATAAATTTCGAACTCATCACTTATCAAGTTACAAAATAAAACATTTTTTTTTACCAATTATTACATGAAATTTGTGTACATGCAACGAGAGGTTATTCTAAGGACATGCGTTTATCAGTTAGAGTCTTTCATAATTTATGAGGTCAGCAATTTTCTGAACATTTGAAAACACTCTTCATACTAAGCAGATATGAACTAAAAAATTCACTGAACAACTAAGTGTTTCATTTCATTCTATATAAACTCTCATCATTGGGCTGTCATTATCCAGTATTTGCTCGAAATTAGACTGCCAATAGTTGTTGTAAATGATCCTTATGTGCAAAAGTCTTCAGAGATAACTTAATTCTCATTTGGTCATTCAAAAATACATCATTAGATGATAAATTTACTAATATCAACCAGTGAAATATGATCTTGTGGTACAAACGATGATCATGATGATCTAGCATGTTGATCGTGAATCAAATCTGAATAAGTCATGATTATGCACTCATAGAAATGTATAAAATATAAACAAACCACTTCTCTTTTTACTCTAGACAGTTTTTTGATGGCTGGCTGTTAGATTAATATTTATGGTGAGAAGCATAATTCTCTTCAAGAGATTTATAAAGCAGCTAACAATTCTCCATCTATAAGAACCGTTCGTAGAGGCTTTGTTAAGACTCGACTAAATGTTAATGAATCAAATTGAGACCAGCATTTGAAATGAAAGTGTTATGGATTCTTAATACATTACTTTTTGAGACACTTGAATATTATGATTCTGATTGTGATTTTCATCTTACGTAAAGTGTTCTAGATTATGAATGAAATCGATGTTGTACTTATTAATATTGAGAAATTAGAGGGAGATAATTGAGCACAGGAATAGTTATCTTCCATACATGAAGCTGTTTGTCTATTTTATTCCACTCACAAAACATTTTCTAGCAAACAGATTAAAATCCTGTAATTATTTTCCAAAACCACTACAAAACCGATTTGTATGACAAGAACCATATTACATTACAAGATCCTTTAATAGTAGTTAATCGCATGAACAGAACATAGAATTGCTACTAAATTATAGAATCGTATTGCACAAATATATACTAGGACGAGACAGCAATCTAGTGCTCCCTGGTTTTCAATGATGATCTAACAATGATCGGTTCATGATTTCAGTGAAAGACAACATTTTTATTCTATCATTAGTGCAGAATTAATGTTTTGTTAATTGTCTAAGCCAACCAACAAAACTTACTTTTGTTTTTCATTTTTTACAACTAATTCAATCGCAAGATTTGGTCGAATTCCAAGAGCAGATAATAATTCACCTTGTTCTTTAGTTAATGGATAATTTTCCAATATATAACTAGATTGCACATAGAAAGTAAAATAATGAATATATGATTGCTGTCTAGCTGTAATTGTTACTGATTATTTAAATAAAAACATCTGAAATGAAATAGTTTGAATATAACATGATAAGAAAATGTAAATTGCCGTTGTACTCCACGCAATGACAAAATACAACTGACTGGTCAGCTATGTCAAATTCTTGATAGTGCTGACCGAATTCTATTGAACAAGTTCCACTGTGGCTACTAGTTTAGGTGATTCTCTATGGCGTGCACTATGCTAGGACGTAAAGTTCTGTGTTGTCCAACTTCAAAGTTAGAGACGCGTCCGATGAGACATTCAGGCTTCGACTGACTTTCTGTAGGACAGAGGGATTTATTTACAGTTGATTGATCACTAAGTAGTAACCGATTTCAAATCCTAAATAATAGTCGAAAACCTAGGTACTCCAACCGCCAGTTTAGATTGTAGCTTTTTACTTGGGACGAAAACAGTTTCTGTTTGCTTTCAACAAAAGTTACTTCATTCATTAAAACTGAAACTTTCCATAGCCACAAAGTTAATTCTGAGAACATTACACGATACTCGAACAATAAATTTAGTATTAAAACATTTGAATGTCTAGTATTAGATTGTTTGTTTGTTTTAGAAAATGCTTTTACAATAGTTTCTCTTAACTGTGGACTGAATGAGCCCCATGAATCATGGTTTTTAGAAACTAAAGTTTTAGAAATTCTCTTGTCCTAATTAAATCACAGAAATATATCATAAATTTTAATTAACTGAGCAAGCAGAAAATTATTGATATCCAATAAACTGTATGGGTTATTGAATCTCATCTGCATGTATTGGCCTACTAGAATTAATTCAAACTTATCTGCCGTATGATTGTTAAAGTATAAAACTCAGCGATTCACAAAATGAAGTCAATATTTTGAAAGTTTCACAGCGTAAATGTTGAATATCGTATGAGTTTATAACAATCCAAATTTAATCTACTCATAGAAGATAATGTCAACTTGCTATTCTGTTATTTTGCATAGTTAAAACTAAACAGAAACAAGCAAACCACATTGAATTAAATCAGTTCAACTTTCCTTATTTAAACTCAGATGAGACAAAATTGAAGTTGCTTGCTTTTTCTAAAGTGGCTCTCGCCGTCCAATGAATAGGAAAATTGTAGTTGATTATTTTACCATGATTAAGTCTTTGCTGTTTGAGAATTAATGCATTTTACGCTCTAAAGTGTTTCGAAAGAATTGCTACCATACCGTAGGGATGCAGTGTATATGCTAACGATCGATTGCTTTTACTTTAAAAATAATATTTTGTAAATGGACCGGTCAATTCAGTTTCAGATTTTTTTAAATAAACTGTAGGTAGAAATTCTAGTCTCTAATATCATTTATTTTTTTGATATTATGCTAACATCGATTTTATCAAACCTTTTTCAAATCTATGAATTGATAAAACTGACTGCTTTTCAAAACTAATTTATTTTCTTATTTTTAAACTAAGAAATGCCTGAATTTAATCCTTAATCGACTTTGATTACTGCTATTCTCCACAGCTGGCCAAACCTTCTAAGTGTCATGTGATGAAACTTCATTCGATTAGCCTTTCTATTGGATAGAAGGTTTTGAATGAAGGATATTTGGTGTTTGACTGTAAGAATTCACTATTAATCTTTTTGTATCAGTGTGCTGAAAACTATTGGTTTAAGTATGAAAAGATGTGTTTATATATATATATATATATATATATATATATATATATATGAAAATGTGTTTCTATATACAATAATTTTATATTAGAAATAAACTTACCCACGTGTGAAATAAATACCATTCATTAATAATGTTTGAATAGCTTCAGCTGTTAATTCATCTGAAATAGATTCACCTCGACTAAATTGTTCTCTAATTCTACTAGCTAATGATGTATGCATATGACTTGGATCATTTAATATCCAACGTATTGAATCTCCAGCATTAACTACCGGTATATTGTATTCTTTAGCTAAACGTCGAGCAACTAGATGGAATGTATAGTGTGAAAAAAAGTAAGTTCTGATGATGAATAGTCAGTTAAAAAACCATGGTATTATTAAATTGTAAATAAAACTGACAGTCATAGTTTATTTCACTATTATTTGATTGAAGCTAAATTCTACCTCGTTTCACTGACTAATTATTTCTGTGTTGTAGAAAATTATTCCATGATAGATGGATACTTTTTCTTGTAAAATAATGTAGTTTTCATCGCTGACCTTTACTAGAGAACTATTGAAGGGCAAGAAGTACTGGACAGCTGTTTCGTCCTAATAAAAAATTCAGAAGTGACTATTTATAGTTGTCTAATAGTAGAGATGTAGGTCCTGAGTTTGCTCTGTGTTGTGGCCCTTGGATGGCAACTAATAAAGCTTTCTTACTAGACCAAATAGCTGCCCGGTGCTTCATGGTTTTCAGAGGTCTTCTAAGGTCAGTTTGTGACTTGATACAATCCAACAGTTTTCGCAGCTTCCTTAAGTTAACAAATATGTAAAAACACAAACCTCCAAAACTCTGCCCCAAAATATCGTAACAGTGCTCACTAGTGACTAGCTTCGTGAGGAAATTCTCGGAGATCTAGTTGAGAAGACGTGACCAATGAAGTTCAACCCTGTCGGGTGTAGGCAGTAACTACCAAAGACAAATGGGTGAGGTCGTGAAAAATCCCTAGATCAATCTGAGTTAGACACTAACAGCGTTGGATGCCGGCCCAGTGGTCCAGAGGTTAGGTGCTCGCGCACAATACCGAAGGCCCTGGGTTCGAATCCTGCGGGGTGCAGGAGTCGTGGATGCGCACTGCTGAAGAGTCCTATACCAGGACGAAACGACGGTCCAGTGCTTTCAGGTTTCTAATGGTGGTCTAACAATGATTGATTGATGATTTCAAATTCGTAAAAACACAAACCCCCAAAACTCTGCCGCAAAAAATATCATTTCTGTTTGCCCGTCTGTTTATGAGACCATTTCACATATCCCAACTAGATATATGAAAATCTGTATCTTTCAAATAACGATTCCCTTAAATAAAATTGAAACCACAATCTGGATTCATTATCAGATTTTATTTTTGACATTTTGTTAGTATAACCTCCGCGTCTATTTAATTTTTAAATGATAATTTATTCGAATATATTCTTTAAAGAACATAATTTTTTAAATTATTATTAAGGAGAGTCTGAGCTAATCCGCTGATATTTTAGACTGGAACGTTTTTGTCGGCGTATGCAAATACCGGTTTGAACTGCCTCAATATAGCTACTATGTTGAAAGTTGTATTGAATAGAAAGGTTGTGGTTAGTACCATAACCCTGAAGGAATGGTCAGTCCTATTTGGGACTCGTCAGCTGGATTTCTCAATTGGTTAAAATTCTTTTATTTTATAAACTTCTCTCAATAATTTCCTCAGACTAACTCATGAAACTATGTCACTCACATTATGTGCTTTATGACTAGGTAAGAAGATCTAGCAGGTCAAAGTTTCAAGCTAGTCACTAATCAAATCTCGGAGATACTTTGGATTTCAGAACAGAGGTGAAAATGAAAATACCACTTGCTCTAAGTATGGTTTTTCTGAATTGACCTGATACCACTTAATAAGGTTAGAAAAATATATTTTGAAAATTTCAATTTTATACGAAATTCAAGGTTTCATTTTGATGTTACTAAAACTATTAAAATTAATTTGTACAGAATTTTCAAAAGTAGAGTGTTATAAGTAAGTGGGTAATTAATTGTTTCATAGATTTGTTTTCTAAATAAAAAACAATTTTTTTTTAAAAATCATAACATCATAGAAACTGTTCTATTTGAAAATTCTTTGTTCATTATATAAAAAATTCTATATTAGGAAGAGAAAGATATTTTTTGTCTTATTCAAAGATAGTTCACACTAAAAACTGAATTAAGCTGCACAAAAATCAAGTTTAAAATTATAATCATTGTATGTCACCCCGATAGTCGGAAGATTACGCACTTGCCACAAAACAATGAGTTCACACTGATATTGGAAGGAAGCTAGGGGCGGCCAAACCAAAACATGGCACAAATCCATGAAGTCACTGACAAGTGGACTGAGTCATGATAGTAGATGCAGACTCCCTGGTTGGGGTCTGCGAGACAAAGGTTACCGATGGTTATCTACCTTGAATGACATGGCTCAAAATCGTTTGCAATGGCTCAGGTGCATTCATTCATTGTGTTCTCTCCCATGCGTATGATTGATTTGGAGTCGGTGTTTTCCAAATCCCTTAAGTGAACCCTTCATTCCCCGCAAAATACATTCCCAAACAAGTTCGGCAGTTATGTCGTCATTAGGTCGCAAAAACGTTACATATAGGGGAAAATGCATAGTTACTGTAAACATACTAAATATAGTTCACATGATTTCATACTGCAAGAAAGTTCACACTTTTCATATTAAGTGAATTTTATACTGAACCGATAAAAGAAATATTGACGGTAATACATCAGGGTGAATGAAGCTCACACATGTACCCTGGCTGAAATTCAAAAATAATTGATACCGAAAACCTTGATCTAAATAATACCACCTTATCCCATCAAACCAGAAATAAAACCAATAAAGGCATTTTGAATTAAATCCTCCTAACCAAATGTGATTATTTTACACGCTATGTATTGCAGCAACACTGAATTGCGATAAAGTTATCCAAGATAAAAGTACACTATTTTCAGAGGAAGATTATTCTTTCAATATTGGGTGTTTTTCCCACTTAGATTTCGAATAATGATGCTAATATGGGTGTTACCGAAATAACTAAAGGATCCTTAAAAATTAAAAAAAAATACTGATTTTGTTTTTAACAAAAATATCGAAAATAAGTTGAACAAAAATATTAATAATTTGTTTCAAATTATGCGAATTTCCGTTTTTAGTTCATTGTATTATGAAAGTATAAAACAATTCAGAATACCAGAAAATGGAATTCCGAAAACAAAAACGAGCAGAGAAAAAAAGGTGTGTTTTGATAATTAACTAACTGAACTGACCTAGTTAAGGTATGATTGATTTACGTGACTATAAGATAATTATTTCAGGTTGAGTGTTCTTTACTTAATGATGATAGATTCTATACATAGTTGATCGGTTGATTTAATGTCTCTCAGAATCGATTCCTAGTTAGTTATCGAATATCAAATTTAACTAACAACATTCTCACTAAATAATTAAGCTTAAATAAACTGACCTAATGGCTTGTTTTTATTGTAAAATGGAAATATTTGTCGAATACTAGCGACTAGAAAAAGTTAAATTCTCTACGAATCTCTATTTGTAATTTGTTCTTTAGTTCAATGGACCGTATCTGCTACCTTGACGTAGTGAAGGACGTGCCTATCGTGATGACCCGACTGAGCTACATCGGCTGGAACATATGTTCCTACCATGCTAGGCAGGTCGATTGGAGAACGATCAGACTAACAACAGCTACTCAAGGTCTGAGGGTGAAGTCGTACTGCTGACTGTAGAGGGGTGTGACAGCAGTAAGATGAGTTCCCCTCGGACAACCAGCATCTGCAAAAATGCTGCATTCTCACAAGGAAGGAAGGGTTAGAAAAGGTCAACCCTAAAACTGTCACACCTCACCCTACCTCACGGATTTCCGTCAGTAAGGGTGCCCAATAAGCGCTTTAAAGAGAGTTGAGGTAATACTCAAAAAAACCCTCATAAAAAGACCATGCGTGGCCGGCCTCAAGCAGTTGTCTCTTGGGCTCTACGGTAACGCTTTCAAGTCTCTAAGACTGACACTAATCTACTTTCCTTTTTAGGTTCCTCAAGAAACACCCTTTCACGGAGTTAGGGTTCTTTAGTTTAAATGACCAGATCGCAAGTTCTGTAGGTAATAAATAAACCCTGAGTTTAAAGCACTTTGCTTTGTACACAAGAATTTATTGCCTAATGAACATATAACTCTATTAAATGACCATAGGCCAGTAATAAAATTATCTTGTGTTATTATGTACCGTGGTTTTATAGGTATCATGAGGTACATTCTAATATTTATATAAAGTTGTACACAACTATTCATTGAATAATATTGCTATTGATGTCGGATTATTTATTTATTTCCCTGACCAGTTAAGTTTTACGTCAGATTTCACTAAAAACATGGATTAAAGAAATCACTTTTTATCAGTAACTGATTGAAAAAAATTGTTCTATTTCAGTTCGATACTTATTCAACAGGAGATTTACCTAGCTACAACACACAAACTAGTAAAATAAATGATAATTATTTACTAATTATTGGCTAGGTTTGATACATATAGCCGTATATCTGGTGAGAGTTTTATAGCCTGAATATAATGAATCAAAATGTGTGGCACATAACTATGGTTGGTATTTCAAGACAATAACAACTTATAGTGAATCGATTGGAAGTAAAAAATATGAGCCAATTGATACTGACAAACTAATCTGGAGTTGTTGTGCTAGCCATTATATACATATATATATATATATATAGGCATTATATTTGACAATATATGAGTTCGTTGAGTACAGATTATCGAGGAGATACAAGCTCTGACAAAGAAGGTATTGAGTAATGCTTAATACTTAACGGTTCTCAACTTAATGTCAGTTGGTAATGGAGTCTTAGAGTTAAATTATTCTACACATAACCTGTAAATTTAATTTGACTCGTAGTTAACAGTGAAAAGGCTAAACTACCTGTTATAAAAAGAGAGAATCAAAGGTCTTGGGTCCATTTCCGGTGGTGTCGGATGAGTTTTACTGAGTTGTCAGTCCCATACTAGACCGAAAAATATGTACAATGTTTTTGGGTTTCAGTTATTGCTTAAATAAAATCAACCTGAATCAAACGTAACAACTGTTTTGGACTTATGATTTGAAAAATTATGAATTGATATTAGCTGTACCACCAGTAGAAACCTGCGATCACTGGGTAATTGTTTCGTCCTATCAAGGTACTCCTCAGTATTAAGTATCCATTACCTCGCCACCCAGGTCCTTTGGCCTCAAGCTCAAACGTTTAACCTTTGAACTACTGTTTTATTCTGAGTTTCAACTACTTGAAATCTTGAAGGGAATGAAAAAAATCAATTTCACAGAACAAATTTTTTTAAATCCATATCAAGTACCCTCTCAGCCTCATTATCTCTGATTGTTGACAACAAAATAATACAGTTTTATATCAGTTTTATATAAAACTCAAAAATCTCAGTATTTAAACCAGAAAAATATTGGTGTTTTGAATTTCCAATTAGTGTAGATCTTTTCTCCCATTAAACAGCAAAATAAAGTCAGAAGAATTAATATCAAATGAATTATTCAATTTTCCAATTTTGCCGTACCTCATTCCACCTTTATTAAAATATGGAAATGATTAATTGTCATTTTGTCAGGAAAATGTTTCCATTTATAACTGAATTCCCTATGTGCCAATGTAAATCTAATTAAACATGCTTTTTAAATATATATATATAAATCAAATTAAATACTTGAAATACTTGATTAGTCATTTTTTTAATCATACATGAGCGATAAATGCTTTGCGTCATGCTAAGTTGAAAAAATAAATTAAATACTAAGCAGCCAATAGAAAAGATTACTGTTGAGAAATAAAGAATCAATAATACCAACCAATCAAATAGATTGATTATGCATTCTTATTTACATTTTAATAAAGGTGTAGACTTACTAGTTGTCTTGCCGGTTTTCGGTGCTCCTAGAATATGTAACCTTAATGGCACTCTAGATGGTGGATCTATGCGTTTCTCTATATACTTCAAAGGATTTTTTGCAAACAATGCACGAGCATTAGGATTAATAAACCAATAAATATGCTGTTTATAAATTGCAGCACATGTTTTGGCTTTAATTAAGGGCAGTGTTTCACCAACAATTCCAGGTAATTTACTCAAATATTTTGAGTGATCCACTTTTATATTAGGCATTGGAATAGGTGGAAGCCATGAATCTTGAAAGTGTAGTGTAACTGGGCACCATCGACCATATCGACTTGGAAAGTAATAACCATTGATTAATAAGCGTTCAGCAATTTTCGGTGTAATTGGATAGACACGTTCAAATAATGAATTACGATTCTCTAATAAACTATGTAAGCGCTAAAGAATGAAATAAAGAAGCAAATATGGCTTTAAGTAAGTTACCAATACATGTTTATCATATTAAATTGAACATTATGATTTAGACATGAATGATGTAGGACATGGCGTAAGTGAGTGGTAGTTTGAGCTTCGACAGTTCTTAACAAAACAAAGAAAATAAGTTAACACGATAGAAATCAAAGGAATCGAATGATGAACCGTAATTAAAAGGGACATTATCTAAAAGAAACAATAATTGCAAAAAATTAAAATCAGGAATGATGGTAATATTAAAATTTGAAACACAAAAGAAACCTAAATAATATTGCTCTACAATAATTGATTTTAAGTTGTACTATCTAAGGTATAGTATGACAATTTGAACTGATGTACGTACGTACGAGGTTCTATGTTGCAACTGACTGACTGATTTAGTTGATACCACATAAAGAATGTGTTGATAAAACTAATGGATAAGTTATTTTCCTGTTTGTTTTTCGTATTTCATCAAATCAGTGTTGCTAGTAAGACAATCAAGAGTGTGGAGTTGCTCAGTGTATGAAATTATTTCACTAAGTATATTAAAAAAGTAGGCACTGATGACGAATGATGCATCATTAATATTTAGATTTTGTAGGTGAAGATATCTTCTCTTTCAGACAATTTTTTTAGAAGACTTTGTGTGTTGTTAACCACGTTACCAACTAGAACGTTGTCACATCCAAGCTCCAAATCGATAGCAGGGTCTTCAAACAGGAAATTAATCTCGGAAAAGCAAACTGACATACTGTCACTTTTAGAATAATATCAATAGCAAAATGTATTAAGAATGGTTAGGTTGCGATTTATTACAGATATTAATTATTCGAAGAAGCCATTTTGGATAATAGCTCATAGAAATTGACACAAACCATTGATAGCGGGTGTATCACAGTAATTGTGTATACAGAGGATAATATTATAAAGGACAATGGTCTAGACTGGGATGAAGCGTGAGCCGCAATGTGCAAACCATTGATACTGAAAAACGAAATAACTAGACCAAGTATCCGAAACAGGCTCATAAACGAAAAGTGAATTATAATACACTACTAGTTTTATACGAAATCTAATGAACCTATTCTTTCTCATTTCTACAGTGGTCGAAAACTATATGGACTTATCATTTCTCCGTGGTCATAGTTACAAGAACCCGAATATCAAATTAATGAAGAGGAAATTTAGTGACAGTAAGAAACATGAGATGACTCGATCAGATCTGTGGATAAATCAAGCATTCAAATGTACAAAAGTAAACTAACGGTATTAGAAATGGTAAAAGACATTCTAAAAGTGTGATACTCATACCTCTCAGCAATCGGTTCGCATACTGAAATACACCTAATCTAATGCTCAGTAAGAAAAAATATGGATATTTGCAACCCCAAGTGAGAAGATTAAGAGAAAGAGGATCGAAATAAATCTAGCAGAGAAAACCAATTACGTACATGCAGATACTGAAAGTATGAGAATCAAAATATTCAGCTGAGAGAATGATATACTAGAGTATTAAGTTTGTAACTTCATTTGTGGATGATTGATATTTTAAATGCAGAACATATAACATTATAAATAAATATATAACGTTGTTAGAAACAATCTGATTTATCTCATTTCTGATCAGTGTGACTGGCTTTTTGTTGATATTTGGGCATTTTATATGGGTCGCCTCGATCCAGTCAGTCAGTTAGTTACAACGTAGAACTTCGGACATGAGTACATAAGTTCAGGTCACCATACCGCATTAGCACAGAGATGCAATTGTCCGTTCAAATACCATAGTGATAAAGATAATAGAAGTTTTAGCGGTAATGGAGTATATTAAGGTTCGAAGATATTATTCAAATGGTATAATTCAGTAACATAACTTTAAAAGGAGAAAGATAGAGATAATGAGTAATTCAGAAGGTTAGAATTTGAGAGAACACAATGAATGAATGAATCTGCGCCATTGTAAACGATTTTGAGCCATGTCATTCAAGGTCTCTAACCATCGGTTGCTATCATCTCGCGGACCTCAACCAGGTAGCCTGCATCTACCAACATTGCTCGAATCGATACATCCATTTTTCAGAAGTTTCTTCATCAAAGATTATCGGCAAAGAGACAATTCAAACCCTTCTTAATAATGAAATAATTATCATACCCTTCGCACAGGGCAGTGTCTGTTTGTACACAATAGCTTGGTGCATAACAGGTTAGGCTTTTGAAGCATAAGGTACTGGGTTCGAATTCTAGTGTGAACACTGACATCCGAATGCAAATAAACTCGTTTGATAAGTCCCGAGTACAACGAAACGTTATCTCGTGATTCCAATACTAGCTAAAATCCATCTATTTTCATAAAAACGAGTCCAGGTAAAGGCTCTTGGTGGTGTTGTATTTGCTGAGTTGGATTGGTGAATATGAAGGCCATCAGTTTCATTCACAACAACATCATAACATTAAATTCTTACTATGTGAAAGAGTTAACGAAAGAAAACACCATATAAATTAAACATAATGTAATGAATTACGTACCTTAACAATTCGATAACGAGCCCATGTAATCTTACCACCAGCATTAATTTCATACTTTGGTATGGACAGCTCATCAATTTGTTCAGAAATTTCTGTGAAAACATCATTAGAATCATTAAATGCTTCAGTGATCTCTTCAGTTAATCGTTCTACAACATCAGATTCAGTTTCTTCTTCATCATCTATTTCCTCTTCTTCCTCCTTGATAAAATTAAGTATTAAAAGAAACACAAATCAGTGGCTAAATAACAATCCTACTTTTAGTTAGGTTTGGATGAAAATTATTGCTTAAGTTTCCGCGGAATCATTTCATGTTATAAATATTATACATTTAGTAGACGTTTATAGGATTCCAAGTAAAATATACTTCACTTTCGATATTTCAAGTTTGATCATTTATCTTCTAAAATAGTGAGGATAACATTCAATTTAGCCAGAATCATTTACCCAACAGGCTTTGAAATTTTAAACTTAACTATTTAAGTTTACTTGCTCATAAATAGATGAACACTAGTGACCATAGTTTTGCTCAGATACTTTTTTCTAGCTAGAGGCTATATTATTCACTTCAAGTAGAATAAATAATCAGCCGTTTCTTTTATAACAAAAATAATAACTTCTGCTTAAATTCGTCATGGATAAACTCAGAGATTAAAAGCTTCCGATTTTAGATCAGATGTCACAGGTTTAAGCGGCATTACACCTTCTTTGGTTTGGATAGTCATATAAACACTGTAATTTAGAGCTGGTTCTTTAAACTTGTAGTCAGTAAATGAAGAACAATGGACAAAAAAAAATATGAAGTTTCAGCGAATATTCGAAGAAATTACAAAACAACAAAACAAAAATGTCTATTTTCATGCAGCCAGTTCACTTTACAAATTTAAACAAAGCAAGAACGACACTATTTGCAGAACACGATAAATCCATTTCACTTCGTTGCCTTCCCCTCAGACACATAACAAGCTAATAAGTTTGATTATTTTCAGCTATTAACATAATGTTTAATTTGAAATATAGAAATAAATTAGAAATATCTAAGAAAATGTAGAGTATATCATTTAGTTTGTTGATTCAAACAAATTATTCAGTAGATGAATGACCAGGTTGCTTGATTTAAAAAAAAAAAGAATTATTATTTAGTAACGCTGACAATTTGAAATGATGAACTAACAGCAAATTCTTCTGCTAACATTTCATCAATATCAACTTCATCCTCCAGTTCTTCATCTTCGCCAACATCTGGATCGTCGGAATTTTGTCTTATCTATCAAAAATAAACAAAGAAACTAGAAAACATTCTCTATAAAATTAATCAATGAAAAACAACAACTTGATTATTATTATGCACACTATTCATAGTTGATTATCATCAACATGGTTATTGTACTAAAGAATTCACAATGGTCATGACGAAGTAATGAGATGCAAATATTGCGAAACACACAGGCAATTATTTTTATAGTCATTCAAAAATCATGCTTATGTAGAGAAATATAGTTATTAATCAATAAAATGTGACTTGCGCAGCATGTAGTACTTATGAAGATAGAAAGATGATGATGAATATACTATGTAGAAGCGCACTAACTACAATTTGTAAATAAATACCAATCAATATACACTAGATAGACTATTCACATTGGTCTAATTTACAGATTTTTCAATTAACTGACAATGATTATATTGTAAATTTTTAAGTTTAAATCAGTTAGAATATATCCTGATCTGTATATTCCGCCCTGATGACATGGCTCAAACTAACTACCAGTGATTTCATGGATATGTTTGGTTTGAAAATCTCTAGCGTTCGAACGGCCTACTTCTACGCCAGCTAGCATTTCCCGTTGAGATAGCCTGTGGTTGGATGTGTGTACCACATATCGTGATTCAAAGTTAAAAATTAATTTAAGTTTATTTAACATGTCAAACGGTGGATTTTACATTTTACTCGAACTAAGAATCTGTGTATATATAAATACCATATAGTGTGTGAACTAATAGTATCGAGCCCATATGGCTTGTCCGTCTTTCAACAAGTCAATTCATCCACTCTTCTCGAGTTACTCACATGTCTTTCAACCTTATCTATTATTCGCTTATAACCTTGATTCATTTTATTTTAATGTGTGATTACATCGCTTATCACAAGTCTAGTTTAATTTTATCTAATTACAAATACTTAGCCATGTCTCATTGCATTGGGTTGGCCGAATCGCCTTCTCTTCTCTTTGCTTCGCTCTCTATTGTCTGTCTGCTTATACGCATGTATGAAAGAAATTCATTCAAAATAAACCGTACTGGGGTTTTATTTACCACCTTAGCACAAACGAGGTTCGTCTAAGAATGATATATGGAAATTAGATGATTTAATTCATAGCATGTACGTTTGTTCGTCCAAATTGGAGTCAGATCCCGAACCATTAAAACTTTAATCAAAATTTGTTAAAGCTACTAAAGAGAGAACGTATATTGATATTTCAACTAGATACCTAGAAAGGTAAAATGAAATTTTAAAATTTAATAGTGTTCCGTTCGAAAATCAAACTACCGATTGAAAGAATGCCGATGTGAAAATCTGAGCTGAAGTGATAGCATTCTTAATGGGGTCATATTTAAACACTACTGGTATATTAATAAATATCAAGCATATTATTAATTAATCCACTTGTAAATAAACTTTTAACGCAATCATAGGATATCTTACTCTAGCATTTTCCCTCTTCTCTTCTAATTCCTTAAGTATTTCCGATCGTCTTTTATCCATGGCTAATTTCTGTAGAAATAAAATAAGACAAAGATTAGTTTTCGCATGACAATAAAAACAAGAGAACAAAAGACAAAGTCAATAGATAACTATATGGACTAATCATTATGGAATCAAGGTTTTGATTTATTTACATCACACAAGGCGTTACATTCAGACAAGAGATGACCGTCAAAATTGTCAGATAACATAAAGTTTCAAACAATCAGAACACAGAATTTAAATTCACTTTGGTAGTAAAACACCGATTTATGGTATTACTAACCTTTTTAGCATTTTTCCATTCCGTCAATTTAGCTAAATTCTCCGCTTTTTTCGCCATCATTTTACGCCAAATCTCCAGTCTAGGAGGTAATAACCTGGAGACAACTTCGTCAGCTTCAGAGGTTAAAAATATCGCATAATCAAAAAAATAGTTCGATGTAACTAAGAACTGCAGATCTTCTACACTTTGAGGAAAACCATCCAATATGAAACCGGTCGATTTATATGGTTCTTGTTTCCAAAATTTTCCAAGTAACCATTCTAATGTATCGTTAGGTATTGGTATAGAATTTAAAAGATATTCGTATACATTTGTTTCATGTTCATCTAACAATAGCGGTTTTTGTGATTCGTCTGTTATTTCTGTTGAATTTAACTTTTGTAGTTCATTCTGAGGTGTTTCTTGTTTTGCATCATTTTCGTTAGCCGACTCTTCAAGTCTATTATTATCATAAAAAAAGGCATATTTAGCGATGTAAATTATTAACTGGGAGACAATGTACGTTTGTTCACATGAAATCATGCTGTATCAAAACAGTGTGTGGCCTTCCCTAATTTAACTTTACCGAACTCGTTATGATCGAAAACCAGTCAAAAAAAATTGTTACATTTTTTTTGAACTATTTACTACAAGAGAACTACGAAAGCCATCATCCAGAAGACACAAGTATTTACGAACAGTTGCATACGCAAAGTACTTCGGATTCGTTGGCCAGATACCATCAGCAACAACCTACTGTGGGGGAGAGCAAACGAGATTCCAGTGGAGGAGGAAATCAGGAAGGAGCGGTAGAAGTGGATAGGGCACACTGCGAAAAGCACCCAACTGCGTCACAAGGTAAGCCCTCACTTGGAACCTTCAAGGTCAAGGGAAAAGAGGTTGGTCAAGGAATACACATTACGCCGAGAAATAGAGAAAGATATGAGAAAAATGAACTAAAAACTGGAGAGGACTGGAAAGGGAAGCCTGGGACTGAGTTGGTTGGAGAAAACTGGTGGGCGGCCTATGCTCCATTGGGGGTAACAGGAGTAAGTAAGTAAGTAAGTAAATTTACTACAAGAAACCAAATAACCCTTGAATGATGTGGTTGTATCATCTTGCTCTTCAGCTCGAAAATATCGGTAAATTTATCACCCCTATTGTGTGCAGAAAACCATGAACCCTTCAAACTGATCTTTCTTTATGCAAAGTGAACTTACCACAACAACAGTTACGTAACCACTGTTCAGCCTGGTATTTCAGTTAATAATAAAATTTATTTAAAACATAAGTGAAAATATCCATACCTCAATAGATGGATTCATGTAGGGAAGTGTATTGCATATCTCATCATAATTTTTCTAGCAAAGTACTTTTCACCATTTTATCTGCTATATTTTATCCAATATAAGTAAGTATAAAAGAGATGAAAGTATTAAATATTTTTTTTAAGGACATGAACTCTAATGTTATCATGATAAGTCTACTGTGCTTATTATCTACCCATGCTGCAATGATGTATGAAATATGATAGAGAAAAGTATAAATAATTATCTTGTGCTGGTGCTGGTAGTGTATTTTTCAACCGGTGACATTTTCAAAAGTATCGCTAAAATGATATTTAACATTAACACGTAAGCAAACGTTAAAATTTGTTATTGAAATTTTTCATTTTTAGTAATAATAAATTAATATCAAGAAACAAAAAAACTAAAAACGTCAATATTATCTTACGGAGGTAGTACAATATCCGGTATAGGCTCTTGATCGGCATATTGTTTACCAATCTTTTTGCCAAGTTTCGGAAATGTTATCTCTTGTAACAAACTTAAGAAATCAATATGTACTAGATTTAAGTTCAGCGCTATCTGACGACTATGCAAAGACTTCCCAGTACCAGTTGGTCCAAGCATTAGGATTCTAGGCGGTGGAGGCTAGATTTTGTTTATATTTTTTTAAAGAAACAATTCAAACAAATACTCTGTTATTTTTTCAATATATGCATGTATTCATTGTCATAAATTAGGAAGAAAACGGTTTAGAAATAAATTTGATCATTAAACAAAGAATAGTTCACTAATTCTTAGGAAATTTTCATTGGTTCAGAAGTAAAAGTATCAAAATGTAAACGTTTTGTTTTTTTTAAAAATTGTTTCAAGGACTAGTTGATAATAATTTTACAGCTGACTTTTATCGTTTTTTGGATTAACCAAACATAAATTAAAAATATTTCATTCTCTATCGATTTATCATATAAAAAGTTATTATTAACTTCAACCCACCTATCGGTAGTACTCATCTAATTAGTTTGTGGGAAATGGAAAGATGTATTTGAATCTACAGTGATGTCTGTACACAAGACTGAGGATTATACTTAAACTAGAGCAATACAGTGTGACTGGTAGATGATTTTGCAACTGGATATATTTTTAGCAGTACCGAATCCGAGTGTTTAGCTTCATAGTTTAATATTCATGACTGTACTATGAGCGATTTCAAACTTTTTTGCATCTCACATGTGACTGTGAACCGTTAATTAATAAACCTTTATATATGCTCAAGAAATTTCTTTTTTTAAACTTAGGTATAGTCAGAGAGTATTTGTTTCTTCATTCATTGTTCTCATGTTATCTAAGGAAAATACTTATCCATATATGTCTCTTTGAAAGAATAGTGAAAATTGTGGAAACGGTCCACTTTGTCAATGCATGATACTAATCAAGAAATCTTTGTACTAGAATTTCTCTATAGCTTGATAAAATATATTTATCTACTTTACTTATCAAAAGATTTAAAGGTAACGATGGGATCCTTACTAAATTAATCCTCACAGTTAGGAACGGGTTCAAACTCACAAGGCAGAATCCCTAACAGTCGATTGATCTATCAGAGAGACAGGTGAATAGAATTATACTATTTTGAAGTATTTATCTTAAAATGTTAGAATCTGATTCGCACCTGCTCACTGGAGCTTTGTAAGGGGGGTGTAGCCTACAGGTTGAGCTACTATTTTTTGTCAAATAGTTCATATTTCCGATTCCTGTTTCAGTTAATTCAGTTCATAAAAATTTACTGACTATGCGAATTACATTATTTATTGGTTTTGTGATCGACATCACTGAAAGACAAAAACTGAATAGTGCTCACCTTCCTTCCTAGATTTTAATATTGAATTTGATTAACTGTACTATGAACGAGTGTTATCAGATAAGCAAACGATAAACTATGCCATTTTATCCGGCTGAAATAAGTTTCAGTGTAGTTTATCTCTTTGTTACGAAACCTCAGTCGACAAAGTTTCTTAATTGGCTTTACAGTGACCAGAACTATATCCAAGAAAATATCTCATTGTTCGATAATATTCATTTATATCAAAAAGAATAAACGCAGTTACTGAATAACCACTGGTTCTGATGTGTCAATAAATTATTTTATTTAGTACATAACCTAAATTACGACATTACAATGATTTATAAAGGTATTCAAAATTATTTTCTATTGGCCTGTATCCAATGATAAATGACTGTAAATAATCTAGAGTATCAGAAAGTCAGTGAATTCATGCAAAAACCGATGTTGTTGTGTGGTGCGCGCTACTTATAAGTAGTATATGACGCGAGTGTAAACGTAATGTCTGGCAGCAGAAGATAGGGAAAGATCAAGAATGGAAGAGTTAGAACACAATGGAATTTGTATGAAACGCATGAATAGTGAAATGTCAGACAATGGATTGAAGATGTGCAAATTAACGATTTACGATATGGTTTTCCTATTTTACTGAGTAACTCTGTAATTTTCATTAAATACAATTCGGTTGCTCTCACATGTGTTCTCCTTCACTACAGTTGCTTAAAAAAATACCCACTATTATGAAAATAGTTTAAATACATTCAAAAATCTATCAATAAATAAACAGTAGACAACAAAACGAATTTTCAAATTACTCAACATTTTAATCGGACTAACTTTTAATGATCCAGTGGAACTACCTAATATCACATCTGGATTTTCAATAAACTTTGATCTAGCCTCTTCGTTAGAAAAGTAATAAACTAGATTTTGATGAACAGCCACAATTTCTGGATCACCAGCACGCAATACTCCATATTCACGTAATGCAACTGGACAGAAGTAACTTGTTAAGCCCAATTTTTTCTGTAAATTTCTGCTTGAATCTGTTTCCTAGAACACCGATACAAATTAAATTTTTTTATCAAACTTTAAGAATGAAGAAATAGTTGTTAGTAGTCAGTCAGTGCATAAAAATGTTACATGAAGGTGGTCTTAGTCGTAGACCTCTATCAACTGGAAAACAACTGGGAATTGAAAAGTACCGAACAGCTATTGAGTCTAATGCCGAGACAATTCAAAAATACGCATCATTGTAGAATGGCATTCTCAAGCCTCAGACCTACACCTTGAAGTCTTCAAATTGGACTCTGAAATCCCATGTTTATAAGTTTTGTTTTTTACAGGATACGAACAACTGTAATTCAGATACATTGTCTGAAAGTAACCTGTTAATCAAGATCAATGGAGAAACAGATTTCTCTAATGTTTAGGTTCATGAGTACACACTGATTAGTAGTCAGGACGTAAGACGAAAAAGCTGTCCTTCGTTTCTTGATTTTTGATAGTTTACTAACTGATCTCTGTTATGATAATGATCATTAAAATGAAAAATTATCTTCATTTTTGTATAAAACCCTCAAAAGAGAAGACGACAGTTATTTGATTGTTGGGTCTTTTCAATATAATACCCAGTGCACTAAGATGATGAAGCTAAACTTATAGGTTGTTGTGGCCAACCACCGCGACTTAGTAAGGGTTGTATTACACAAGCAACTTACAAGAATGTCTAAAAGTGATGCCAAACTTATGTAAGATTACAACAACTCAGTGAGTCTCGGGACTAAGTTTTGCAGAAAGAACATTCCTCCATTACATACTTCTTTCCTTGAAATCATTATATCACCGATAATATTCAGTTATTAGTAAGATAATACACAACTCAAATAGTGGATTTACTAAATAGTGTCTTCATTTATTAGGAATGTATATAAATTCTTTCAATTACTTCCTCTTCACCATCTTCCTCTTCTTCCAGTTCTTCACCTCCCTCCTTCTGTTCATCTTCTTCTCCATCTTCCTCCATACCTTCTTCATCCATACTGAACTCTTCATCAATTTCTTCTTCAAATGCACCAGCGTCTTCTTCTTCCTCTTCATCTAAATCTTCTTGCGTCTTTACTACTGGTTCTATTTGAAATTGTTCTAATTTAAACAAACCATTGTAAAAAAAATCCGAATAATAATTGAATTAGTGCTTCGTCAATAAAACTGATTAAGATCACTCTTTTCAGATCGATATTACCTTAAGAGATCATTAGCGATAGTGAGAAACACTTTCTTGATATATCTAAATTGCTGTAAAATAGAGATTTCTACGACTACATAAGACTTCTGTACATGTTCTCCATATATTAAATACATCTCTTTCAAGCAATAAAAACATTTTCTGTCAGGGCTGTGGAAAGCTTTGCAAACAGCATTTTTACACAACAACACACAGACACACGTTTGGGCGTCCAACTATAGTTGTCTTCCTGGAGCACTTTCGCCATTCTTGTTCAATTTTGTCATAGACATGCTTTCAGAGTTAACGTTATCTTCGTCTAACTTTTCAGGGATTGACCTACTCTACCAGGAAACTCGGTTGTGGACTTGGAATAAGCTGATGACATAGTTTTATTCGGTGGAGACGATGACAAAATGCAGTCTTCTAACCACCCTAATTAACAATTAAAACATGTTCGGGATGCGGTTTTTCCCCTCGAAATGCACAGTGTTACTTCAGGATTGAGTTGCGTCGGCATCTGAACTAGTTATTGGGGGTGAAACAATTGAGAATGTTGACAGCTCCTCTTATCTCAGGAGTCTCATCAGTGCTGAGGGCCTGGTGTATGACGAAATCTAAGCACAGATACAGAAGGCTCGATTGGCTTTTGCCGACTTGTGTCACTTATGGCGTAGGCGAGATATCCGTCTGCTAACGAAAAGACGAGTCTACTGCGCAGCAGTACTTTCCCTACTACTTTATGGCTGTCAAACATGTGCGATAAGAGTTGAGAATATTCTTATTTTATTAGTTTACGATCATCGGTGTTTTCGAAGCATTACTCGTGCATTGTGTGACAACCGAATGAACAATGCTGTTGTTAGGAAAGGGGTACTAGGTAGGAATGGCAAATCAATGAATGAAGTAGTGAACCTTATCAGCTGAGGTGGGCGAGGTATGTGTTACGAATGCCCAATAACCAAATATGTAGGCGAGCGATGATGACTGGTGAAGGGGAAGGTTGGATGAAAACTAGAGGCGGATAAACCAAAACATAGCACAAGTCCATGAAGTCACTGAAAGGCAACTGAGTCATGTTGATAAGTGTAGACTACGTGGTTGAGGCTCGCAAGATGATAGTAATCGATGGTTATCTACCTTGAATAACATGGCTCAAAATCGTTTGCAATGAAGCAGCTGCATCCATTCTTTGTTTTCTCTCCAATCCTAATCCTCTAGATTCTATATCACGTTTATCTTTCTCTCTTTAAGTTTATTTCACTAGATTATACTTCACGAATAACACCTTCAACCCCTATTCTTTCTGACACCTACTCATACTTCTACTATCTCTACAACTATGGGATTCAAATTGACAATTGGGTCTCTGTGCTAATGTGGTACGGCAAGTTGAAATGATGTACCTACGTACGAAGTTCTACGCTGGAAATGACCGACTGACTGACTGACTGACTGACCGAGTATTCACAGTCGATTCAAATGTAGATTCAACCTGAAGATTGCAGTGATATAAGTTGAATAAACAAAGTCATTTCCAGTTTTGAAAAATAACACCGAAACTTTTTTACTATCCAAGTTTTATTGATCAACTAGAATAACTAAAAGCAGACTTCAGAAATTAATCTTCCCAATACATAGTTTAAACCATATCTGTATTTTTTTAACATTCCTATATGATTGTCTTTATAAGAAAAAGAAATTAATTGTACTTAACATACATAGAAAAGCAAAAAAGTGTATCATTTATTATCATTTTTGCATGACACAGCTGTGAGAAATGAAATGAACAAAATAAAATGTGTACAGTTTTAAAGCTCTGTAACTTTAAAGTATTAACTATGTCAATACACAATGGGATATGCAGTTTAAGGAGTAAGTTCTTATGACAACATTAAACAAGTATGTTGCAAGAGAAGGAATGCGAAGAAATTCTATCTCTTAACTAGTCATATAAAAAATAACTGCTTGACTATATATATATACTAGTGAAATATATGCTTATGTCATTTATATCCAACAAAAATGACTAAATTTGAGACGAACAGTTGTTTATTAACACCTAAAGATGATCATAATAAAAAATCATAAGTGGCAGCATTTTTGTGAATATTCATCTGCATAATGTGCTGATAAATGTGAAAAAATGCCAGAATATTTTAATTTCAGTTAGAGTTTACGAGATCTGTGTTTTTACACATTTGAAATCATCAATCAATCATTGTTAGACCACCATTAGAAACCTGAAAGCACTGGACGGCCGTTTCGTTCTAACATAGGACTCATCAGCAGTGCGCACCCACGACTCCTACACCTCGCAGGATTCGAACCCGGGACCTTCGTTATTGTGCGCGAACGCCTAACCATCGGACCACTGGGCCGGCATCCAACGGTGTTAATGTCTAACTTAGATTGATATAGGGATTTTTCGCGACCTCACCCATTTGTCTTTGGTAGTTATTGCCTACATCCGACAGGGTTGAACTCCATTGTTCACATCTTCTCATTAAAACTCCGAGAATTTCCTCACGAAGCTAGTCACTGTTTTATTTAAGATACGCCGAATCAGCAATATTTACTACAGTAATATTTAAATGGTGAACAGAGAATTAACTGATTGGAGTGTCAGTGATTTTTTGACAATCATCCATGACAGTTAACCACATTTCAAAAAGAGGTAATCATATTCTTGTTGGACAGCTTGGACAGATATTGAATATCTGTTTATAGAGTGAATTGTAGATTAATCGATGTCAAGTACTATTTAGTGTAATGTAAACAAATCTAATAAGTGTCAATCATATGGAAATAAATGTATTCAGATATTTTTTTCTGACTTATTGTGGGTGTTAAATAAATTCCTGTCTAATGTTTTGTGCTTTCACTGGCGTTATCTACTTCACAATTTCCAGTATGAAGTGCCAGGTAATCCATAGATTTGACAAATTTTATATTACAGTATTGATTTCTCAGTTCAGATTCAGTCGTTCAATGTCTGCAAAATTTGGCTAAATTTATCATGCTCAGTTTGCATATTATCACCATTTATGCTTTGAATAATTGTTCTTCGTTATTACTTCCTCGTTAGAATTGGTATAAAAAGTTAATAGCACTAGTGAATGGTTCCATTTCACTCCGCATATTTTAGTAAAGAATTTGCCTAGGTTTAACGAACTAACCAAACGGCTGTTTGAACTGTTATAAAAAGTCAATAAATTTGTAATGTGGGGAAACAGACATCTACAATCACTTTTAAGATTTGTTTAAGATTCTAGACTGCTTCCAAAACAGGTCAGCATTCGACCCTTTCTTATCGTATCCACTTACACAAGAAATTCAGCATTATAAATAATTTGATCCTACTACATTTACAGATTAACTTCAATAACCAAAGGGATATCTGCTTTGAAAATTTCAATGTAGAAATACATAAGTAAAAGACAAACCTCCAAACAAAGTCCACGCTACTTATGGTCAATTTATCTAATACATGGAAAGAATTCCCATATATGTATTTCTATAAAAAGTATCTTATCCATAAGCCTAAAGTAACTTACTCCTTATACAAATAAACATTACCAGGTGCAGCTTTGTAATGTTTTTGAGCAAAACAAAGTCAAATATTTTCTTAAAATGAACTTACTAACTAAACGATTTAAAACTTCATCCCTCATTTGATCTATAGTCTTATCAGTTATATTCAATTCCAAGATATCAACAGGAGCACCTAGCGGTTGCGTTGTACGTGTTAACAAACTCAAACTCTCTTCCCAAAGTTTTTCTGCTTCTTTGAGTCTCAGTAGTGCAGTCTGACCATGACTTCCACTCAAAAGAACACTTTCCTCAGATATCTTAGGTTGATCACTTTCAAGATCTTGAGCAATTAGACTCTCAGTATTCTCATCTACACCAACTGATCCAATATCTAAAGGAATGAAAGATCAAAATTTTTTAGCTCATTTGAAGTAACAGGAAAAAAGTGTGTAACAACGCCTGTCAGTTGTCTGACATCTAGAATATTAGAGTTCAGTTGATATGTAAAAGTCACCTTGTGACATTATTAAGTGATTAATAGTAATGATTAATTTAAAAATAAAACCCAGGACAACTTTACGTTGCAAACAGAATTCTCAACTACAAACTAAATATCACATTTTGAGTTACCTATACTAAATAACCTCATTGTTTACAGTGTGCTAAATGAATGTAAGTCAGACTCTAAATGAAATCACAATTTTCCACTTCAATAGAAAAATTGTCTAGTATTTGCTGAAATAATTTTTGACTAAAGAAATTTTGTTTCTACACTAAGAAAAATGTACAATCTGGATTTATCTAAAGTCATTTGGCGTTTTCACCCCCGACCAAAAAACATCTTGTTAAGTAAATTAATGTATTCATACACAATGAATTACTTTTGAGATTCAAAATAATTTCGTTCCGTTCATCTTACTGAAACCAGATTAATGTGTTGAAGTGTGCTACCGATCGAAATGTTCCATTCAATGGAAGTAAAAGTTCTGGTTACAATAAACATTCATTTTCAATGTGATGCAAGACAGATGATTGCGTCATTAACATGTAGTGGAGTTCAGTGAATATCTTTGATCAAAAGTTAAAACAACTTGGTCCGTTTGAAAGTTTATTTTCATATTCTCCTCCAGAACAACAAACTGTTTGAGACAGTGCTAACTAAGGTTCCAATGTGTCATTGCATCAGTTAATACCGATAGAGACTCATGGCAACTTTTATGAGGAAATCACGTCAGCTACGGGAATATTCAAAACCATGATGCACTAGACAGATGTTTTATCATAGTCAACGACAACTTAGTAACAAGCAAATGTTGAAAGTAAGTAAGACGATTATCCACTATATGAGTTCCACAAAATCAGGTAAGCTGAAATAGTAACTCATTAGACTCCAGTTTAAGGAGAGTTTGATCCGATGTGAGACCTTCAGTTCACAATAGTTTCAAAAATAATCGGTGATTACATTAAAACAATTACAACCGAATGAATGACTCCAAAATATTTGACAAACCACTGAATTCTTCAATTTTTAATTCAATCCATCGTCGAAGTAAGTACTCTGAATTGTTACTTGTATCTTCTAAGTAAACAATTAAATCAGGCAGTAATTCTGGAGCATTCTCCGTGAAACTTCTCCAAACATCTGGACGTGAAGGAAGACCATCAATAATCCATTGACCATGACTAAAGAATACATATATATGTCATATAACACATAGGGTTAAGTAGAGTTATTTATTAGTTAATTAGGGTTAATTAATTTGACTAGAAATAAGACGGAAGATAGTAACATCATTGAAGTCCAATGGTATTAGTTTGTGGATAGAAAAAACCCCTAAAAGCGATTTTCATTTTTTGTGCTATGATTCCACTTAAAACACTCATCTATATTTTGTATCAATACCACTCACTGGCCTAAATAAAGATAGTAATGAACTGTCATTCCATCATTCAGTCCCAACGAAGAACTTCGTACGTACGTACATCAGTTCAACTTGCCATACCACATTAGCACAGAGACCCAATTGTCATTTCGAATCCCATAGTAGTAAAGATAGTACAAGTAACTGCAGTTATCAGAAAGAATAGGGGTTGAAGATGTTATTCAAGGAGTATAATCGAGTGGAATAAATTCCAGAAGAGGAAATTGAAGCTCGTTTAGAATTAAGAAGATTAGCATTCGAGAGAAAACAAAGAATTGATGCAGCTGCACCATTGCAAACTATTTTGAGCCATGTCATTCAAGGTAGATGACCATCGATTACTATCAAATCGCGGAACCCAACGCCATAATCTACATCTGTCAACTTGACTCAGTTGACTGGTCAGTGACTTCATGGATTTGTGCAATGTTTTGGTTAGGCCGCCCCTAGCTTTCATCCAGCCTTCATCTACACCAGTCATCATCGCTCGCCTAAGCAGTTGGTAGTTGGGCATTCGTAACACATGTATTGCTGTTAATTTCTCGCATATGACTTTTAATTACTGAAGCTATATTATTGTGAAGATGTAATCGAAGAAGCGATGACATACAATGAAAGCTATTTTTTTAAAACATAATCTCATTTCGAAATACCTAAAATACTAACGCTTAGTTGTGAGCCCTCTTTATCCCATAAATTATAAACTTTCGCTTGACTTGAAAATTTTGTTTCTAAGTTCATTTGAACATGACCCTTATAATCCATTTATTCTAATCTGAAGTCCTCTTTTGAATTTAACTGAATATTTCCTATACCTTGCACCAAAGTGGTCCTGTTTGCCATATATTTATTCCAAGTTATGTCCAATCAACGGAATTTAGATTTTAAAGGGTGTGAAATTGTATTTTCACGTACCCACTTGTTCAGCCTGCTTATTCTTGTGCCTATCTGAGTAACAAACAAGACAAACATTCGCATCTCTCTAACCTATAATCTGATCAGGATAATCTATTTTTTCCCTGTCCTCAGTCTTAAATAAAAATTGCGGGACGCAAGTTTCAACATTGTGCTGAATGACCCATCATATCAAGGCAGTGGACGAAATAAAAAGAACTCTCTACCATGGACATTAAGCATATGAGGGCAGACAAAATTAGTTCGTGACTCAATAGTCTATCATTCGAGAAAACGAACTAATTTTTTACAGAACCCTCTAGTATTCATAAAGTGATTCGGAGTGACACAATTTGAACACAGCTATGTAGCAACAACTACTTATCACACTGAGCAATTTTAAACACTAATGAGTAGCTCTTAATTAAAAAATATAACTAGGCTTCGTCTGAATTCGAACGTAGCAAATATTCAATTAATCTATGTCATTGTGAATTCACCTGAATGGTATTACATTCGATTCGCGATTACATAATTAAAAAACATATTACAAACAAATGAAGATGTCATTATTTTCTACATAGTCTTTGTGATTAGTTTCGTGCAAAGAGTTACCTTTCACAAATCTAAACAGATCAAAAAATGGAAAGGTTCATGGAATACAATGAATTCACTTCTTGTCGTTACACTCTCATAAGTTACATCTAAGCTAATAAAATCAGTTAATTGGGAATAAAAACAGATCACGACAAGTTTAGGAGTTAAGATATGAATTAGAAGGAAAACAACACCAGCATGTAAATAATACTAAAAGTGTTCCCATGAGAAAGACTTCATTTCATCAAATTTCATTTGTAAATCAAAAGAAAGTGAATTATTTTGAATTGTTTAGTACTATTATCGAGGGAGTGGGAAGCTGACTACGTGTGCCCTTTAATAAAACAAAATAGCAAGTGTTTAACCTTCTGGCAATGGTAATAATTTATGTGACCCGCAGTGGTGAAATTTTTAAAGTTATTTGTCGGTCATTTTAACTGATCGTGGCTGTAGTCAAAGAAGCTGGACGGAATCGAATTGGAGGGTCAGCAAAGTAGTGAAGATTTATAGAGACAAAAATATAGATGGATCTATAATCCTATCACCCAGTCAGCCTACTTCGACAACTGATTCTTAACAACTTATTTTTCCGATATAAGAGACCTACATTAATTTACAATGTAAAATAAATAGGTTTCGTTCCCTGGGCTGGATATTTTGGCCGCGGAGCATTCATAGTTCTTCTGAACAACATCGCCAGCACAAGCGTAAGGACTGTTTTTTTAAAAACTTTTTTAGACTGATGTACACATCAGTTAGGATTCCACTGTCGAGGTTGACTTTATTTGTTGTTAGTGACCTGATGAAAGCATCTGACTATAGTTAATTCAGTTTTTCAATCTGTACCTCTACTTTATAAAAAGGCTCAAATCTCTAGAATCAGTATTTTATATTTTTGATATGCTCGTCAGTTGATTTGCTTGAAACGATTACGAGTTCACCTTACTCGATAACGAGAGCGAAGACAAATGATGCAGTGACACGATAGGCTATTCTAATCCGTTGTCCCATGCCCGGCAAATTATATCAAAGAAGTCTTGATATGGCGTAGAAAATGAATTCTAGAAGCACCCAGTAAATACGAGGTTGACAAGCACACAAATCGAGCTAATTTATACAAGATAGAAACGTCTTTGGGAGAGCCAAAAAATAGCGTACTAAAATGATACATCAACCAATGATAGTCAAGGATTTTCCTAGTGGGAAATGTAATCTCTAGGTCAGCTGAGCAGCTTAAGCGCGAAAACACAAAAAATTCAAAATTAGGACCTTTTCCAATGAGTTCTGGGATTCTATCGTCCCCAACAATTTTATCATTCTGCTTGTTATGCCTTAATAGATCACTAATTTATTGTGAATAGTTACTACAACTGTTGTGATATTTCACATTTTTACAACGATAAGGTTCGTTAAATTATTCAAAGATTTTCCTATTCGCCAATATGCATATAAAAAACAGTATAATGATTTACCAGTAAAAATCAATGAATTCTTTTCAATCGTATCAAGAATAAGAAAATGGTATAACCCATAGATTTTTACAGTTTTACCGAAAAAAAATAAACATTTAACAAGAAAAAATATAATTTTACATTTGTAAGATGAAATGTTCAACACGAATCAATATTGATCAATCGTAATCTTTAGAATAAGTCAAATGCAACTACTGATGTATTATTCAAGATCTAAATGATTGAGCTGTTTGATGAAAGAAGTTGTTTTAATGATGTCAACAACCACCTACCACCTCCACAATACACTTTGTTCATATGATTGCATGTTATTAGTCTTCATATTCATTCACTTATTTCAAACTATAGAACTGTCTTCTATGAACTCCATTAAGTAATGAAGCTCATACAAGTTAAGGGTATGCTCATATCCCAGACTGGGAAAAATCACGTATAACCATAATGTTTGACCAATTCTATGTTACTCACATGGTCAGATGATAAGATATCCAAATATGGATGATTTGTTATGAATGAATGGGTTTTGTTTGCATTAAGCCACCACTCACGTCCCCTGTACAATAAGAAAAGGTCAACACCAGATGGAATAAGGATATATTTGAAAAAGATTAAGTTTATTAAGGGAACACATGCGCATAACTTTTAAACATCTGTCTGCTCATGCTGATAATCCATTTTGTAGGTAGCACCCACCACACCCCCAGCCTAAAAATATCCTATTTCCACATTCTCATAAATTATCTTTGATCTCAGAAACACAGCCTTACACTACAGGTTGCCATGTGCCTTGATTTCTCCTCATATGGTGAGCTATTTAGGACGTATTCATGAGTCACTGTATCAAGCTGGTAGACCATATTATTCTCATTCTAATCAGTCTACTATAAGTCAGATTAGGTTACATTTTAAACTCAGTGGTTGTCAATTTATTTTAAATATTAGTAAATTAGAAAAAATTCTGTTTTTAGCATTCAAAACATTCAAAATTTAAAGTAATTTAGCATCACTTACTAAGGACCACCTGGATTATCCTTACGTAATTTGGTTTCAGCTTCATCAACTGCGGCACGAACGGCATTTACATAAAAATCCACTTCTATTTCAATTGACTCTTGTTTTATGTTCTGTAGAGCTTCCGCTACACGTCTTTTAACTTCTGGATGATCTTTGTCCACTGGTTGATGCAAATCTACAAAACATTTAAAGCAAAGTAGCTGTTAGGGTTGGGATAATCTTTTTCAGAAAATGTATGAACTGGAAATCAGTTTTACCATTACAATTAATTTGTTCAATAACGAAACAACATTTACAAACAATTGCTTTGCAATTATTCTTTTATCTAGGACTTCACTTAACATCTTTGCCAGCTCCTATCACAACAGCAGACACCCCCACTAAGTCCTAGAGTAAAACAGAGAAAAAGAAAGTAGTTCAAAAAAAGGAATGAAACAGATATAACCAATGCCAATGAACGGTTGTTGAAAACTATCGTGAAATAACTGAAGCCACAGATATAGATCAATGCAGTCTAATCAGATGATCCGATTTAAACCCTCTGACTTTGATACCTGAAGGTCCTAGGCTTGACTTCTAGTTGGATCGCGTCTGTGCGTGTGAAAGGATTAGGGTATCACATAGTTAATATCAGTACAAATACTATATAACACACTGGCAAAATATAACAACATGCGACAAATGGCTCTAAATAGTTCAGGTTTGCTCATCGAATAAAATCCATTGATTAGATTCGACTAAATCAATTCATTTAATGATATAATGTAAATTATGAGTTACTTTGAAGGACTAATCTCCTAAAGTTTGACCTACTTTGAATATGAAAGCACAGTCACCTCTTTTTATCACCTAAATAGTACAGCTGTTATGAGTATATATAATAAAGGTATTTCAAAAAACTTTTGGCAGTAGTTCATGTGGCTGTTTGTTAAGATGCAACTAACTAATTGCACGTCTCTGAATAGTGCTGGTTAGTTTTGACTTGAAAAGTGCAGTGAATATATTTTAAAAAATAAAACAAAATTTGTGTACATCCTAACAGTGTTTACATAGATACCACTGTTCAAATGATTGTAACTTAAACAACAAATTGTTGACATAACTGATGAATTTAAACAATCCTGACAGTGAAGCAAACATCAATGACAGTAATGAATAATGGTTTCATTCAACTAAGAAGTACATGAGTTTAGAAGAATGAACTATGAATAACAATTTTTTAATCTAAAGAAATAGAGCTCACCGTGAACACCAAGGCTCCAAGAGCTATCATACCTTTGAGGCCATGGATATCTAAATTACAAAGGGCAAAACATTTACCCATTGCTACCTAGTGTTGTCAATTGTTGTCTATCTAAAGTTAATTAGCAAGGCAGACTATTTTTTCAACCCAATCATAATCACACAGTTACTAACGACTATTTTCGGAAGTGCCCAAAATTCTAATAACAAGTGAAAAATGTATGGTTTGATCGCCCACCTGCTTATGTTTTTACAAATACATTCAATACAACTTAATCACTTACATTCTGAAATGTTTGACGTTGATGATCGTTCTTTATTTTCAGTTAATTCACTTGTCTCTATATGCATAAATAAAATTGTATAAGACAATGTGAAGTGATGTGAAGATAATTAATTTATAAGTGATACAGTGATTTGGATGGAGAAATACTTTACACTTTTATCTATTGAAAGCAAATCATCGTGCTTAAATTAGACTATATGTCTGTTTATTTTCATGAACCATATAAATCCTACATAAATGAGACGAAAATACTTTGTTGTTGCTGTTGTTGTTGAGTAATTTAGATGATTTTCGTTTTCTTTTAACGAATTTAACTGTAGGCTGATGACAACTGTTTCAACCTATAAAATTAATGAGTTTTGCTCAAAATAAAAACCCTAAAATCCAAGATCTTGAATTTTGATTACTTATTTTTAAAAAAAGTAATCTCAGAGAATTGGAGGAAACTGACAATACTTTATTTCTGTTTCATACTAACAGTCAACCGTTCCGCTAATCAAGTAATTTCACTTGTTTCAACTCCAATTACAAGGTTGTTTTAGATAGATATATGTTTCTGTTAATAGTTTCATTTGAAAACAGTGATCACTAAATGTAAAATATGATTTAGATAAATGATAGTCACCATTCGGCTGAATAATAAAAGCTTTGCCAATATGACACCACTATTGGCAAGATGCAGTTAATCACAGAAATATTTAAATGCTGTACCTTAAATAAATATTACCTTCGTTAGGTAACTAACTACCTCATACCCAACACAATTGAACTCAAATGATCACAACTTCTCATTAGTGCCCCTAGATTTCCGCAAGCCTGCCCCTTGACCACAAAACATGGATCATCGAAGCAGTCGATGGTTAGGCATGCGTAACAAATGTCCCGATCACCTCAACCAGTGAAGATTCACTACCTCATCAATATATCTGCTAGCCTTAACTTGTACATGTTTCCTGACACGAGCACTGCTTACCCGTTGCTCCCAGGATATACAAGCAACGCTACTAAGACACCGATGATCGAATACCAGTAACTTATAAATAACCTTTACTCTTACTGACCATGTTTCACAGCTATAAAGTAGGACGGAGAAAACGGCTGCGCAATAGAACCGATCTTCGGTTGGTAGATAAATGATAATCACCATTCTGCTGAATCATAAAAGCTTTGCCAATATGACACCATTATTAGCAACATGCATTTAATCACAGAAATATTAGGATGCAGTGCCTTAAATCGGTATTCACGTTTTATTAAGCCTGAATCAAAATAATTCATTGTTCACTTGTCATCACAATCAAAAACATTGTGTCATGTAAACATGTACTCATAAATTTCAGGGTTCTCTCTGACTATCTAATTATTATTGAATAATATAAAAGAAAAGAGAAAGAATTATGTACTGATTAGTTTTCCAGTTGCTTACTTTCGCCTTCTTGTGAATCGTTATCATCTTCCGTGTGTTGTTCTTCTTCTGCTTTTGCTTCTTGTTCTTCTTCTTCTTTCTTTGTCTCAGTTTGTTCAGTCACTTTAGTCTTGTCGTCAGCTACTTTTTCTAGAATAAAATAAAAAAACCAACGCAATCATTATTCAGTTTTAAAATATTGAAATATGGTTACTGAAAGAAATACCAACCGATTTTCAGGTACATAACCACTTCAAAAATTTATCGAAAGAAAAAGATACAAATTCTTTTGAATTAAAATTACTGAATTAAACAATGTAATCATATTCTTTTTGTAAATTGAAATATTTGAATTTTTTTATATTATAAGAAAAGGTCATCATGAATCTTGAAGTTTTGCTATGTTCCCTCTGTCTACAATGTTAACACTTATTCTTAAATGTTTTGTTGAGTAGTATAGAGTAGGTTACTATAAATTCCATACTGATGGAGTAAATCCATAAAGAAACTGAATAGCTGTAGAAATTCAACAAATATTTTTTACACGTTTTAGAAACCATGAATCGATCAATGTTAGACCACAATTAGAAACCTGGAAGCACTGGACGACCGTTTCGACGTAACGCAAATTACCTGTGCTGACTAGTGACTAGCTTCGTGAGGAATCTTTTCCGAGTTCTAGTGGGAAGACGTGACCAGTGAAGTTCAACCTGTTCGGGTGTAGGCAGTGTCTACCGAAGACTGTGTATGAGGTTGCGCAACTCCGTGAATTGATCAAGTTAGACATTAACACCGTTAGATATCGGCTCAGTGGTCCGATGGTTAGGCGTTCGCGCATAATACCAAAGGTCGTGGGTTCGAATCCTGTGAGATGCAGGAGTCGTGGATGCGCACTGCTGAGGAGTCCCATACCAGGACGAAACGGCAGTCCAGTGCTTCCAGGTTTCTAATGGTGGTCTAACATTGATCGATTCATGGTTTCAAAAATGTGTAACTTAATAATCTTCACAACCCCGTCATGCAAATAATTTTTATGAGTTCCTTAAATTATTCAGTTGGCTATTTAAAACCGACGATATGAACCATAAATAATATTGTCTTAATGAAGGACAAAGAGACGTATTTCTTCATAAAATCAGTCTCACCTCGAATAATTCTATTTTTAAGTTATTCCATCTTAGTAATTTTCTATTCTTCATATACTTCATGCAGTTCGTTTTGGTACATTGATTTTATTTCGTTAATTTTTCTTCATTACATAATAAAAAGCGTCAACTACATGTCTTGGTCATTAGCTCACATTCTCCTTACAGACGAATTATCCATAGCCCATTTTTATTAAAGCTGATTAGGAGTTTTAGTATCTTGCTTTCAAATACTTCAACACGCCTACCATTTTAATAAAATTTCACAATTTATATAAAATAGATAGGATATAACTAACAGTCGAAATCCACGACGTGCATTCCATCCTAATCGGTACTCGTCATATGGATGTACCTGCATCTCCGAGTTGATATTCACTCCAAGACACACACCCTGGATTCCATTACTATCCAAATTCTATTCATTCTACATAAACCTGTGTCATAATGACTGTATCTAGTCCATCGGCATAGGATGCCCATTTGCTAGCGATGACTCATCAAATCAGTCAGTTGCAACATAGAACATCGTACGTAAGTACAACAGTTCATGTTGCCATACCACATTAGCACAGAGACGCAATTTTCAATTCAAATCCCACAGTGGTAAAGATGGTAGGAGTACTACTATTATTACTACTACTGACTGATCAAATCTCAGTCGTTATATCAACAACGAAATAATCCAAACCATTTCAAGTTGAATTAGTCTGAAAATATTATTCAATTCGTTAATCGCATAATTCTCTTAATGATCCAAAGTGATTATAACTCAGAAGATTTAATTGTATCATGTGACTATAAAAATCTGCAAACTACAAATTACATATTCATTCAACTTTTACACCTAAAGTATGAGCAACAAAAATAAAATGGAAATTAATTGCTACTACCAATCAATTTAAATTAAAAAAAAGTATTACGATTCCAGCTCTTGTGTCACATGTTAGGTTATACGTCAAATGTGAAGTAAAGCCACAACCTGATTAATTATGCCCTCGTAGCTAATTGCTTTATTATTGTAGTGGGTTTAATAAGATTATTTATTGTCCAGTGTCCAATGTATCGTACCATTGATTTTGAACAATAAAATAAAACAATAAAAATAAAACCAATCCAATATCATATAGTATTATATGATAGTTTCTTATGATAGTCTGATTAAATAGTCCTTGATATTTTGTTGCATTTAATATGCTTCGAATATGAAAATCATTAAGAAATTTATTTCGTTATCAATTGTGTATAATAAATACTAAAAAAATGTGAAAAATAATTAAAGCTGACTATTTATGTGGATTAATATTATTTGAGGTGATCTTTACTTAATTTATAAACCTATTCTCAAATTAAGGAAATAATCTAGGCATCTTATCGCTGAGTAATTTATTCGTGTATTGTTAGGGGTATGAGGACGGATGTCACTTTCTGGTTGCCCACACCGTGGAATGATATTTCTTGAAGAATCTGGAAAAGAAGTTGTGTCGGCTTTGGTCTTAGTGACCTCGAAGCGTGACCATTGAGCCCAAGAGATACCTACCTGAGGCCAGTCGCGCATGGTCTTTTTATGGGAAGTTCTTAACCTGTTGGCTCCACTCTTCAGACGGTATTACCGTCAGAGGCGGAAACCTGTGGAGCAAGGTTAGGTGTGACTTTTTCGGGGTCGAACTTTCGTAACCCCTTCGTTCCTTGTAAGAGGGCAGTATCAATGCAGATGTTGATTGTCCCAATCTATCTATGTACCACAATCATTAACATCGCTTGCATGCTACATTGGCAACTACTTCTCTGATAATGTCAAAGCGTTTACATCTAAGATTATATATGAATTCGCTAATCAAATAACCAAGACTTTAAATGTGTGAATACTGTCATTATTTAGTGTATTCATTAAAATTCTATTGAGACGATTACAAGTTTACATTATGAATCCCCTATGCGACTTCTGGTTAACTGTAAACCTTATCCTAACTGCATCATTTACTTGGTTATTTTCATTTAAAAATCGTAATTATAAGTACCCGTTAATGAGACTGAAATAAGTTCTCAACAAACTATTCATTTAAAAAAATAACCTCTTAGTTTTCCTAATAGGTAAATATAAATCCTTTTGTCAAATCTCTCATCCCAGGACGCCTAAGAAATTACTGCTCCTCAATCCTCCCAAAGTACCAAGGTCATTCTCAGACTACTTACTAAAAATATTCCTGCTAACAGGACTATAGACTGTTATGATTTATGCACAGATGACATCTCTACAGTGTCGATATCTAAAAATATTTTGATAATGTCTTTAGAAGCCAGTAAAAGTTTAGAAAATTAAAAAACCATGTCTCCCACTCCCACTGGATGATTACTGAATCTGTCACTAAATTTAGCATGCTTTCAAAAGTTTCTATCGGTTAAAGATGATTATTAAACCTGTACAAACTATTGTTTTTAGTATGTAAAAGAATTTTGAAATAAAGCTTCTTTTCTTCATTCGTTCCCTTAACCTACTGTCCTATAGTAATCAAGTGTGACAAAATAACAGGAATCTAGGAAGAATTCAAGAAGTAATCATTAAGTACTTGAGTAGCAGGCTCATAGCTAAAATACTGTCAACCATGTTTAATCATTCTAGTTACGGAAAATGTTTTGTATAACTAGATTTTTTATGACAAACTTTGATGAAACTGATTCATGAATGACGTTTCTCTCAATAATGTACCCTTATTTCTCCAAAGCATGCATTCTACTAGCCCGAATATGCTTGCAAAAATGATGCGGTTTTTATAATTCTTTTCAAAATATTTATGTGATATTATTATGGTATTACTATTAACTTCAATCTTACCGGTGTCTAGTGATTGAATTTCCAGTTGTTGTTTTTCCATGATTTCTTTTATTACAATCGCTTCAGTTTTAGCTTGAATTTCTTTGGATTTTTCATTTACTCGTATGCTGTATTCTTCTTGAAGCATTCCAGCTATGTCTATAATTTTTGCCCTGTATGATTCAGCTAATATACGAGTGAGTTCAGTTTTACCAGATGCTTTCGGACCAAGCACGACAACACGAAATGGTGGCCTCGGTTGAGGCGGTAATAAATAAGGTCTTGGGTTTTTCATAAACGATGTGAAGTTTTCAATATTTGATAAACAAAATATTTGTCCAAGATAACTACATAGAAAAGGTTTTAAGATAAGAACCGAATTTTAAAATATAATATCTTGAAGGTAGTTTAAGATAATTACAATCATAATGATATATAACCATAAGTAATATCACTCTAATCATCGACTATTAGAAGATTGATTTAACTTGACCAGGTTTATTCAACAACACTTTTTGTAATCATAAATGCAATTTTATTAAATACTTTGCGAATGAAGAATACAAAGTCGACATGGTGATAATGTTGGCTCTTCAATCAATGTGGGCAGAACTATTTGAAGCTTTGATAAAATACTAATAATCATACCAAAAGAATAAACACTTTGTTGTCACAATTTGATATGCTTTTAATCAAACTGCATTCTCATTTGAGACATTTATAATAGTTTGATTGAAATAGATTTATTAGTAAAGTTATAAACTGCTGTACCGAAGTAAAAAAAGACTACATTTATGAATGTTTTAAAATGGTTGATATCTTAAAATTATGCAATCAAACCGATAAATTAATTTTTACTCAACAAAACTGATGTTAGTGAAACATTATTTTCATGCATGAATACTGTATGTTAGTAAAACTTACCCAACTGTAAATTCTGGTTTCCCTATAGACAGTTGACCTTCGTATAATGCCACAGGGCATAAACGTTTCCATGGACTTTTATACCAACGAGCTCTTGGACCGGGCATTTTTTTAGTAGCTAGTATTTTAAATAATTCTTCAGTATCTATGTCTTCTGGTATTGATTCTTCCTCGCCTTCCTCTTCACCTCCTCCAGTTGAACCAAAAAATTTTATTGGTGCCACTGATGGATACAAATTCATGCCTTGTAATTTAACCAGTAGGTTCTTGAAGGATGAAGAATAGATTATTTAACACGTAGGAATCTGAGTCAATAAAAAGTATATATATATATATATATATATATATATTCATGATCTTTCGCCTAAATTTCAACGAATGGTTCCACAGTAGTTGGACACCGAGTGAATATGAAACATTAAGGAGGAAAATTATATTTATAAATCCTTGCGATTAAACTTTGAGTAAATACAACATTTCACTCGACTAGAAAATATTATTTCCTTGAAAAATCTTTGGCTTGAAAGAAATATCAGTTCAGTTTGGATAATATATTATCTACCAAACACGTTACCACTTAATTTAACTAAATAGTGTATTATTTAAATCCATCATAAAACAGCGAAACCATCAACAGTAATAGAAAATAAAATGTTTAAGCAATGATAGTAAGTCAAAACGGATAACGACCAAAATTTGAATGCTATTGAAATTTTCATGTATTATAGGTTTTGAAACAGTAAATGGCCATCTGTCAATATTTTATATATGTGCGATTTGAACTTAATGAAAGTTCAAATTCGAAAATAACTCAACTAAAATCTGTTTTCAAATGAAAATATCAGTTAAAATTGATGCATACATATCTTAATTCTGTAAGTACGTATGTTCACATCTCACAGCAAAATGAATGTTTGATTGTTAAAAAGTGATCAATGATGGAGTTCCTACTACTTATCGAAATATTATGTGTCCTGTTATCTTTATTCATTTTATTGGGATTACGAACCAATCTATGTTGTATGGCCATTGAAACATGGTCGCACATTATCATGGATTGATTGAAAATAGGCTTGTGCACTATTGGATGCTGGCTCAGTGGTCTAGAGATTAAGTCTTCTTACATAGGCCTGGATGTATGTGGTTCCATTCCTGAGTGTATTGTCGTGGATGAGCAATGCTTGGCAGTTCCAAACTAGGATGAAACAGTTATCAAGTGTTTTCAGGTTTTCAGTAGTTGCCTACCTTTGATTGGTTTGTGATCTCAGTAGAAATCAACCATCTCCACGACCCTATCCTGATATTTATTTACTCTATCTTTATATATATATGACACAGAAATAAAGTGAGAATTTTATATCTGAACGTCAAACATTTTCATAAGCTGTTCCGAGAACAGTTTTAAATTTAACAAAATCATGAAAAAATTTAATAAACTTCCGAAATAATAACTACAAAAAACCAATAAGATATATAAAATAATCCAACTCTTCATTTGATAAACGAAATTTAGATACCTCGAATTATTGTGTTAATTTCTACTCCACCGCCGATATCGTTGCATTCATAAATAATGTCTCCATACTAGAAAGAACTTCTAAATACTTTCCCTCAAGCTAATCACTAAATAATACGCGACCATTACTTGGTCTGGCGGTTAGTTAAGGTGTTTTTGATTCGAAGATGGGCTCCTTCAATTGTTTTTTCTAACTGATAGCAATCTGCAATGGAAATGACCTTCCAACTGGACAAACTGACAATCTTAATGCTTCCATTTTGTTTTCAGCAGTCCTGACAGATATTCAGTTACAGTTCTCAGGTTTATTCTAGGGAAAAATAATCATTTTAGCCACCTTTCTCATCCCAGTAATTCTATCAAAACAACCACATTGTCTAAATATGTGTGTCTTTTTTGACACAAATAAAAAACAACTACCAGCAACGTTTTACAGAGTGTGTAACTGTAACTAATCATAATGAAAAGAATGTAGTGGTTGGATTGTTTTAGATGAGAAATAAAAAAGTCAAACAACTTATTTACTTACGTAAAACAGTTCAGTTGGAGTTAGATTTCCATCTAATTCAATAACATTGAATGGATTAAACCTTTTTATGAAAGATGTTATGTGTGGATCGATATTTTGATCATGATACTCTGAATCTGGTATCATTTCTTCTGGATTATCTTCTAATCTCGAAACTAAATATTCTAATTTGTTCTTATTTAATTTTTTAAAATCTGGATGACTTTGTTTACTAATTTGATTCGTTTCCTCCTCGTCATTAACTTCTTCCATAGCTTCAACATCATCTTCAGGTACATTATCTAAACTGTCATCTAAATCGTCTTCAGCTTTATTTCGTCCAACTTTTGTTGTTTCGTCTATAAATTTCTCTTCAGGTTCACAAATTGGTTTTAATTCGTCACTATAATTTTGACTTGAATATACAGTTCCATCTTCAACATCAATTCTCAATCCTTCACGCTTACGTATGACATCAACTTGAGGAATCTGTTTTGACAAAAATATGAGGAATAAACAATCAGACTAATCTATATGAAAACTAATATTCCACATATTTTAATCATTTTGTTAGGACATTTTTTGTAAATTAATTCATCAGTTAAGAAACTTAGACAATACTTCTTAATTCATTAATTAGAAATCAGAAATATGACTCAAAAATTGAAATTTATTTACTGTGTATTTTGTCTATGCAATATAAAGTGTATATTCAAACAATATTATCAGTTACGTAAACGATTCTGAAATATCCAAATCATTTTGATCATTTAAATTGGAAATTTAGGATTAGTAAAGAAAAGATAACAAGAAGAGAACACCTGACAAAACTGGAGTAACTCAACAAAAAAATAAATTCACATGAAATTAGTATTTCGTTTTAGTTAATGAGTGTTGCGAAAATTAACTACAAAGAAAAATTAAGTAGGAAAAGACTTTGTCATACAATCAACCTAATAAAAGTATCCTTTTTATAAAATCATTTAAAACCTTTTCAAGCCAGTGATATATATATATATATATATATCATTAAACCTCGACCGACTTACATTCATTCGATTAGTTTCGAATCAAAACTACTTGCTAATATCTATAGCTTGATCAAAACAATGTTTGTTATGAAAGTCATGTAAAGTTAATAAACTGAGTGTACTCTCTTCTACTACACTTATCTATTCACAATGTAAGTTAGGGAAAATATTGATATTTGAACATTGTAGTTCATAGTTTGTATTGCGAAGTCTGTACAACGACCTGTTTCCCAGTCAGCTCAATATTACTGGACAATAGAATGCTAAAGGTTCACATAATATTTCTCAAAAATTCCACTTAAACTTTCTATTTTTTAGCCCCCTTATTTAATCGTTTGTACTGTATCATTCAAAATTATAATATAATACTACAATCCAGTAAGTCATTATGTACTTACTTGAAAAATGCTTGTAATTCACAAATACTAAATATACTTTCACTTAGAGTTATGGAGATTATTGTTTTTATACATTTGAGTCCCATACCAGGACTAAATTTATATTAATATAATCTGTTAATCATTTCCTTCTATGCTATCAAATGGATTTAATAGTATTATATACTTGTACAAATTTTGAATCATTTAGCTAAAAATCAAAGTATCAGAGATCTTTTGTATTTGGACAACCATTTTGATGAGAAAATAACCTACTACTTATACATTTTTAAATAGCATATTTCGTTTTTCCTAAATTTATAAACCGGTAACTTGGAAATTCAAATGTTATTTCATTCACTTCAGTACTCCCATTAATTTTAAGATTTTATAAAAATCTGTATTTGATGTGTGAATAATTTTTGACTAAGCATAACACTCCTGAATTACTGACTGATTTGATCTCTTTGTTTACACAGTCAAATTTAAACATAGAGATTGTATTCTTAGTAAGCTTTAAGTATTTTATCTTCCGCTTGCTGCAATAAGACGAAATTCCTTCACATAACCAGCATTATTGTGTTTACAGACATTCTTTTTCAACTGCATATCGCTCTTTTATAACATAGAAATATATTTTAAAGATATGTTCTCTTTTGGTAGAACTCCGCCTAGGGGCTTTTTAAGGTTACTATCCGTTCCAAGACCGAATAAATTAAGAGGGTTGGTCATGAGGTTATTAACACTATCCTATTGAAAAACAGAAATCCTAGGAAACGGTAAACAATAAAGATAATTCGAACCGTTTAAGCCCTGTCCTTTTAGTTGCAGGCACCTCATTTGAGATAGTTATGACGCCTCGTGGTCAAAGCCAAGATTCTTCGGAAGTCACGAGGTCAATATCCCTTCTCATAACCTCACCAAAAATTAATATTAGCACACGGAATATTCGTACAATTTGAGAGACTGGCGGAATCATTCAGGAAGCTGTAGAAATGAAAAGACACGATCCGGTGGTTTTTGAAAAAATTGAAACATCAGATGCTGGCAAGACAAAAGGGATCACATTCAGAAGAGATGCAGTTGTACTCCGATCATTATACTGTCCAAAGAATCTTAAAAACCACCTGTAGGGTGCGAATCTTGTGGACTCCGTATCATTAAAGCATCTCTCGAAACAAAGAATGAGAGAATCACAATGATTGACACCCAGATCTAAGTCCAAATAACTGTAACAACGAAGACGATAGAGATAAATTTTGTGGGACTGTAGTCAGTCATCGACAACTACACAGCAAAGAACTTGACCATTCTAATAGAAAACCTAAACTTCAAACTTGTAATGGACAACACCGGGTATGAACACTTCATCGGAAGACATGAACAGGGATGAAGGAACGAAAACGATGAGATTCGCAAATCCATATACCTTAAACACATTGCCACACAAAGGCAAAGCCACATGAGTTTCAATGGACCATACTACGGGAAACCAGATCAATCATATTTGTATCAGTCAAACGTTCAGGGAGAGGATGGAGGACGTAAGAACAAAGACAGATCATCATCAGATCGTCACTTATTGGTGGTCAAGGTGAGATTGAAACTAGAGAAATGTTGAAGAATAGAAAGAACAGCATTATTACAGTTTCTTTAAAACGGCCTTCCTTCGGGGCTTTGATAGAATCAACAAATTAACGATAACCTTCCACTATTTACTCAATGCAGAGGAGGCTACCATGGGGTACAACTATGGGAGAATCAAAGAAGCCCAGTGACAGACAAGATTGTCTACTCTCGCTCTTTCTTCTTCTCTTGGTGATCGACTGGATTATGAAGGGAAACTATGGTATGCAGTGGACAGCCAGGATGCAGCTGGATGATCTAGACTTTGTAGATGGTCTGGCTCTTTTATCGCACACGCAACAACAAATTCAGGGGAAGACGATCACTGTAAGAGCAGCCTCAGCATCAGTCGGTCTTAACATATACAAAGTGAAAAGTATGATTCTCCGATACAGCACAACATGCTCAAACCAGATCATATTTGATGAATAAGCTTTGAAAGATGTAAAAAATTCTACACATCTGGGCAGAAAAACTGAAGAGCACGGTGGGTCTGGTGCAAATGTGAAGGTGCGGATCGGCAAAGCAAGGGTTGCATTTCTACAAGTGAACATTATGTGGGACTCCAAACAACTATCAACCATCAACAAAGTCAGAATCTTCAATACGAATGTCAAGACAGTTCCACTGTATGGAGTGGAACCTCAGAGAACTACAAAAGCCGCCATTCAGAAGATAAAAGCATCCATTCGCAAAAGACTTCGTCTAGATATCATTATCAGCAACATACTGTGAGAGAGAACAATTCAGATTCCAGCAAAAGAAATTAAGAAAATGCACTGGAGGTGAATAGGACACACATTGCGGAAAGCGCACAACTTTCTCACAAGAGCAGCCCTAACTTGGAATCCTCGAGAGCGAAGGATAAGAGGACTGTCTAGCCGAAGCATATACGAGGATCTTAAAATAAACTGGAATATATACTGTGAACAAGTTCGAGACACATATTCAAACGTATGAGACCATGAATTTCACGGGTAGAAAAAGGAATGAGCCAGCAAACTAAAACTTCATACAGACCTTTATATGAACAATAAAGTCTGGTTTCAAACTTAGAGATGCAATATAGGCGATTTGATCCTCGATACTAATACTTGATCTAGAGTAAGCTGGAAAGTCATCCAGTACATATCCATAATGAGCACACTCGGGTGACTCAAGTTTCTGACTGATTAAATTATAAACTAGTTTTTCATCCAAAGGCTGACTACTAGTCATTATTTCACTCATTTTCTTGCCACTTTCTGTTGCTCCATCAATATTTTCCATTACCAGTTCCGTGGCTAAAATATAAAAAACTTTGAAGTGCTATTTACCGTTCACAAGCTGCATTTTCCATTTTGAACACAACTTTTTGGCTAATGTAGTCTTTCCTGAACATGGTTTCCCAAGTATAATGATGCATACAGGCTTTTTGTTCAACGCTCCCAATACACCCTAAAACATACTTGATAACGACAAAAATCACGTACATCATCATGATTATATATATTTTTACTATCGTATAAATTTTTAATAAGTCTTTCGAAAGTGATCTCCTCTTTTGGGTAAAATGTAAGCAATTCACTCATTTTCAAATATTTGGTGAGTCCTCGTCATGATAACAACTGTTCAAGGCCATTTTTAAGGTAGAAAAAGTAATCACGGACTAAATGAATATCACTGCGTACAGTCATTGTAGTGTGCAAATTATCCAAGCTGTGATTTCTTTATACAGTGATGGCTTGGATAAAATATCCAACATACTGATCAAGATCACTTAAAATCCTAGCGGTTATACGACACCCAACTAACTGAGGTGACAGAATCATGTTGGAGTTATTTCCACACAAATTGCACAAAATACTTGATTGGAGGGATTTACCGACCTCCCTAAGGTACTAAGGCCCAAAAAAGCAAACTGATTGAGGTAATACTGCAACTGCAACTCCTGGGGTTTGATTAAATACTCTTAGCTGGAGATTTCAATACCCCATCGTTAAATCTCAACAATCAGAGTATAAATCTCACTGGTTGGTTCCAAAGACCACTTGGTACAGCTATTAGAAGCTCTGGGCTGACTGAGCACGTATGCGGTGCCACTAGATGGACTAAGGAAGGAAAGTCCCCAAACCTGGATTACCTGTTAACAAATGACCAGCTCCTGGTTGATGATGTTCATGTCCGTGCACCAATAGGTAGTAGTGACCATGGCACATTCTTTTTCAACATGGTCATAAACGAAACACTCACACAGAACGATAACTAGCCCTATATTGCTACACTAGGGCAAACTATACACGTAGGATAGAGGTCCTCCTACATGCCCCATGGCCACGGGAGTGGTGGAGGCTGACAGTAGATGATCACTGGCAAACTGGCTTAGGGAACATCCGTATCACTCCTGACTTAGTACTAAGGAAACTAAAAACCTTACACCCAGGTAAGACACCAGGTTGTAAAAAATTCGCCCCATAGTCTTGAAACGATGCGCAGAAGTCCTCTGTTCACCGACACGTGACCCGTTCTGGCATTCACTGAAGTCACACCAACTCCCAGATGAAAGGAAACAAGCTTCTCTCTCTCCAATCTTCAAAGGAGGAGATAGAAAGGACCCAGCCTGTTACAGACTAGTCGCACTACTACCAATACTATCAAAGGTTATGGAAAGGTTGGTGGACGAACAAGTGAGGGAGTACATGGATAAGAATAAAATACTCCATGAAGCTCAACACGGGTTTCGGAAAGGCAGGTCGTGTGCATCGAATCTTCTCATTGCATGGGACAGTTAAACATCCTGTTTGGACCGTAAAATACCGGTGCACGTAATATTTCTCGACTTTACAAAAGCCTTTGACACGGTTCGCCATGCACGCCTAATCGAAAAGGTTGTGGGAATGGGCCTCACCAACCCACTCGTATCTTGGCTCAGAAACTACCCTGAAAATAGAAAGTTTCACACCAAGGTTAATAGAGTTCACGCGAGCTGGTGAGTATCCACATTGGGAGTTTCACAGGGGACCGTCCTAGGCCCACTTTTCTTCCTGATATTTATTAACCAACTGTTATGCTCAGTTAGTTCACTGGCATTGATCTACGCAGACGATGCGAAGATCTGGAGGTATTTCAGAAGCGAAGAGGATTCGACTTAGCTTCAAAAGGACCTTACATCTATTGAGAAATGGGCAGTGAAAAACGGTTTAAAACTCAACCAACCAAAGTGCCACGTCATGCATATTCTGCCTCACACGACGCAAACGATCTACACCCTCAATGGAAGTCCGCTCCCTAATGTCTCCTCAGAGCGCGACTTCGGTTTACTAACCACAGAAAGCCTCCACGCGAGTCCAAACTATGTAGGGGATGCAGCGATGGCAAATGTGACTCTTCACTTCATGCGAAGACAACTTGGTGATATCACCCCGCAATTATTTTTGACCCTATTTAAGACGTACACGCGCCCACACTTGGAGGTTCACAATGTCATCGCACCCCCTCTGCATAAAAGATACATAAATCTCTTGGATTGAGTGCAGAGACGAGCAACCAAATGGGTGATAGGGTTGAAAAATAAACCCTACGGCGATAGACTCCAGTACTTGGGATTATTTCCGCTGAGCTACAGGAAAGTCAGAGGTGATCTGATTATGGCGTACAACATATTACGCACGCCAAACCATCCTAACATGCGCACCTTATCGATGCATCACCACCACTCCCCTCGAGGCAATCCTCGAAATATTGCACATCAAAGAGCGAATACTCGGACTCGGGCACACTTTTTCTCATTGTGAGTCGTCGCAACTTGGAATGCTCTCCCAGCTTAAGTGACCACAGCCCTCTCAGTAGACAGCTTTAATAAGAGACTTGATAATCACGTACTCACATACGGATTGTCATCTCCCTCTTGGACAAGCTGTTCATGATGCTAGTTGTTACTATTGCCATCCCCTCAGATCGCTCAATTAATCTGTCTCGCCTATTATCTCTGCTTCCTTTCCCTTGCTTACACTCCGGTCCTCTCTCACAATCTTCACTACCAATTAATAAACTAAATCCACCTATGTATTACTTAGTTCTAAAATTTTATTCATATCAGCACTAGATTTTTATACTTATTATCCTTATTATTCTCCACATTGCAACTAATCGATCTCCGGTCTGGTAATGTGATGTCTGCAGATATCCAGAAACCCTACTGCCCTGAAACAAACGTTTTCATTCAAATCCCGAGACATACAAACTCATAACCAACTGTCAACTGATTAGAATTAGACAGGTCGAGTTGCTGGACCTTCATTCATTGGACACTGCCGAACACCTGGAACCTTATAGAAAGAACAAGGATCGAGCTCAAAGAAATAAACAAGGTTTACACTGGCTCGTGAAAAAGATATTGGATATCACACTAACTGGTAGTGAGCCTCAGTGTGATCGGGGAAAAGGAAGCAGAGATAATATGGGAGTTAAATTAAGTATAAGAGTCAGTTTCTGATAGCATATTTACACTATATCACTGACAGAAACAGTTAGTGATGCGAGGAAATTGCAATAATGACAACAAACAAGTCTCAAGGCATGCATCAGGCACAGCTGATCCAAGTGACACATGATAATCCGTGAGTAATTGTTTATTACGTCTGTTCATGAAGCTATTCACTGAGGGTCTTGAATCACCTCGTCTGGGAGTGCATTACAAGTCATAACAACTCTTAATGAGATAAAGTATGCAAGAACCTGGTGTAGAATCCTTTTTGAATGTTTCGTGTTTTGGAAAATCCCTCCATGTTTACATATTTTTGTTATGACATGACGGACCTTTTCTGTTGACATCTTTGGTATTTTATTTGATTCCAATTTGAGATTTTATCATTGTATATTGTTATTCTTTCTATATTTTGTACTTATATTGAAGTTTTTATGTTTGCTTCTGAACTGTACATATGTTGTTTAAATTTGATATAATATGGCTACCGCCACATTTTTGGATTCGACATCGTGCAGTATAGGAGTTCACCTAGACCTCGGAACATTGATACTCGTTCAGAGTAATTTTGAATTGGAAGACGTAAATTTCGTTAGGTATTATTTGTATTTCCATTTATCATTTATTAATAGACCATTTTCCCCTAGAATTATTGTGTTTTTATATTACAAGTCGGGAAATGCGTCCAACATACGTCTATTGGAATCGAATTGAACTGTCACGATAGAAATCCAATTACAGTCTAACGAAATTGGAAATTAGTCCATTTACTGTCTGGAATTATTCCTAAGAACATTTATATTCTGGAATTATCTATTACCTTTTGATTAGAAGACCAATTACAGTTGGATTATTAAGAATTATAAAGAAACATTTGGAATTTTAATCGTTTATCACACTAGACTTTCTTGAAAGGAGAATTTTGGATTATTTATCGTATTTTCGTATTCGAACTGTATCTTGGATGAAGAAATTTTGATCTTGGACATATCTTATCGAACTAATCTGTGGAATTACTATATTTTGTATTGGTTATTTTCCTTCCGTTGAACTTCATCTATAATGTCAAGTCGTAAGAAATCAAACACGAGGAGGGTGGAAGAGCTCGACGGATCCCAGAACGCTAAGCAAGTCGTTAATGATGAATTTTTTATGGGTAACCCATATGTTATGTCTGATACTTATTATTGTAAGTCACCTTTGGCAGGCATTAAGGAACCAGGATTAAGTGAGAGTTCTAAGGTACCAGAGACGGATCAGATACTTAAGACACCGATAGTAGGTTTAGAACTACCTAAGGTCGAACTTTCATTTTTTGATGGAAAGTCTCGCGACTATTTTAGATTCATGCGTCAAATAGAAACGTTTATAGAACCAAGAGTAAAAGACGACCAAGTGCGTTTATTGTATTTAATTCACTACTGTAAGGGAAAAACAAAAAATGCGATTGAAGGCTGTATTATTATGGATCCACAAGCAGGATATAAGAGAGCTAAGGCCATCTTAAAACAGCTCTTTGGACAGTCGCATGTAATAGCCCGGGAAACCTTAGAGGACTTATTTAGAACTGGGAATGCAGATTTTAATGATCCTGAATTATTGACGAATTTGGCTATTAAAATGCAGAATGCTGCTTTAACCTTAGAACAGTTAAATTGTACAACGGAACTTAATTCCTTGGTTACTTTAGAACGAATAGTCAGGCTCTTACCTCGTCGAATGCAAGCCCAGTGGGCAGAGCTAGGAATCAAGTGGGACGAAGAGGAGAGAGAGCCTAATTTTAACGAATTGACGGAATTTATTATGTCTCGCGCTAAGATAGCTAGTAGTAGGTTCGGAAGATTAGCTTATCGGGCTAAAACAGGAAATAATACGGAAGCTACTAGTGGTCTGCGTGCAAGACATGAGGATTCTTCGTTCCTATCTAACGCACGCCCGGAAGATAAGAGGGTTGTCAATTATATCACGAAAGCATACGCTGATGAAGGACGAGTATGTGACCGTCACGGTTTTACTCTTGTGATTTGTTGCATGATTTTATTATGACTACTAATAAAGAATCCATTCCGTCTCATTCAACCAATCAAAATCCGATTGTTACAAATT